CGAAGGTCCGAAAAAACTTTTACACCGATAACACACCCTATCTTTATTGTCTTTGAGACACTCGTGGTCTGCATTTCTATCGGTCTTACATTTAGGACACCAGAATTTCTCTCGTCCACAAACGCGGTTGGCGCGATATGAGCAGCGTGACAGTCCCTCGTGGAAACCACACCCGACACTCTCGACAAGGTTGACCGAACAGCAACAGCTCGCCGACGTCACCACCGCCACTACCGGGTACCGCTATGGCGCTGTTGCTGCCTCTGTCGTCGAAAATCGTTCAGACAGCTTTTACCCTTACGCCCGCATTTCCCACATACGCGTACTCTTTAGTGCATGCATGAGTATTGTCCGCCTTGTACCCTCTATGGCACACCCTACAATATTTACTATTCCCGTACAGCCCTACCACTGTATTGATGCAGTCATAGTGACCATGCGGTCCACCTCTGGGAGTGTTAGCAGGCCACCAGAAAATATCGATACAGGGGATGTGTTCGGCCGTGTCAAGAGGAGTGTGTGGAGCGTACAAGATAGAAGCACCATTACCGGGTGTAATGGTGTGTACATCTAGCAAGCCTCATTCCTTAGACATGTTTGGAAGGCCTCCCAAGCGGGACGACCTTCCATACACGCTCCCGGGCGGAGACCCGCTCGCCTGTACAATTCATGCGTGGCTATCGTTTGTACACCCCGCGCATCTCTCAGGAACGCTTCACGCTCTGTATATCGCTGTCTGCGTTCCTTCTTGGACACATCCCGTGGTTGCGAAGCATGCTTTAGAAAATATAGGGCTACAGCAATAGCCCGACCTAGACATAAATTGTCGCTGTTCTCTATTTTAGTAAGACAACCACCCCTAGTGGTTTTACGTTTGGTAAAAGCCTCCAGCGTGATTAGCTCTTTCTTAGTCAATCGATCATTACCTCTACCTACAGCGGCGGGATTCCTCACTATGTGTAACCTTACGGTCATGGTACTGTCAAACGTAAAAGATGTGTTAGACTGGGCAACGTGTTCCATACCTCGCAATATGATGTCACCCGTGAGTTCTTCAAACCTGACGAACGGTATGGCGACGGGGGCGTTGAGGGCGTGATGATGGATATACAGGGTAACGATATCCTGAGGGCGTATATCTAGGGGAAAAAAGTAAAAGAAAAATATAATGGCATCAAGAATGCGCTTATGTCAGCTTTGAAAAGACAAGCAATGTTAAAAAATTATTAGTTACCACACTGTAAATGTATAGAGCTTATGTTGTTTTTTATACACTTACTTTCCGAGTTACCCAAATGAGCCACGAGGGAGTCGAACCCGCGTGACAGGTTGTCTTCCACATCCACGCTGCTCTGTACTCTCTCCAGAAATTGTTGTAAAAACCCGAAGAGGTAAACGATGTTAGACACCCTATATCTCTGACTATCCATCCGACGAAGTTCTCTGAGGAAAAAAACTTGTTGCGGCGAGTAGTCATGCTCGCCATTTTCTTCCTCGATAACCTCGTTGTGACCGTCGTTGCGGGGAGAATGACACGGCAACCCTTCCTCTACGACCTCGATGATGTCGTCGTCGTGTTGTCGCAAAGGTTGCCCTGTCCCGGACTGTCGGCATGTGTCACTGCTGAGGCGTTGGAATTCCTCATCATCCGACGAAAAAAATATAAGTATGTCATCCTCGGAATGTTCTATAAGAGACGTGTTCGTATTTCTTACTAGTTCGTTTACGGGGTCTTCCTCGTCAACCATGATGAGAATGTTGTCGTTGTGCGCCATTTTGTGATAAGCGAGAGAGAGAGAGAGAGAGAGAAGGTTGTTTGGTTTACCAGGTGGTCATTCGCGGTTGTGTATGACAGGGACGATTATTATCGAAGGAGGGGGGTGAAGAGACGAAGGGGTGGACACTAGCGGCTGTGTATAATAGGGTCGATTAGAGCAACTAGACCGATTAACGGCACGTAGGGGATTATTTTCGGAGAAGGGTGTAGAGAGGCGATTGCATTAATAGAGGGGTCGATTAGAGCAACTAGAGAAGCGACGGGGTACACTCACGCCCTGGGGGGCGATTTCGAGAAGTTAGATATAGAGGCGATGGGGCGGTTGTGTACACTCACGATTCGCGTATAATAGGGGGACGATTAGAGCAGTTAGGCCGATTAACGACGGATATAGAGGCGACGTAGGGGCTATTTTCGAAGGCTTAGGCGCGACACAGCGGTGGTCGAAACGATTGTGTAATAAGGAGTGGTTAGACCCATGAGTAGGAATATACGATAAACCGTGGACATATGGTGCGTAAGATAATAGAGGCGATTTTCGTGTTCCTGCTGCGGCGTGTCGGACGTGTATGATCATGTCTACAACGCGGACGCTCAATTACCCTTTGGGGTGTATATGACCATTAAACTTGACCACTGTCAAATCATACTGACTACTGCTCGCCATACAGTAAGACGTACTCCTGACCAGCTCTCCGCTACTACTACTACTGCTACTACCACGGCTATTACAACTACCACTACTACTACTACCATGGATTCAAGCAAGATGTGTGATGCTGCTCCAACAACCATGCTATACTGCTGGAAGTGTCCCCAGAAAAATGACCACGTGTTTAAGAACTGTCCATTGGCGGTGTGTGGAAACAGGTGTGGGGGAACAGGGGCACTGGGGAAAAGATTGCCCCATGCCGTGCACCATCTGCCAACAGAGTGGCCATTACAGGAGGACCTGCCCGTCCTTCAACATGTCCTCTTCCTCCGTGATCACCACCCCACCTTCCACGCCGTCCACGACTGCCACGACTCCTACACCGACTGCCACGACTACTCCTTCTTATGGTCATTGCTATAGGTGTGGGGACTCTGGTCATTGGGCTCCCCAATGTCCGACGGCCACATGTTACAAGTGTGGAGGGAGTGGCCACTACGCCCGGTCATGTGCGGTAGATGTCACCCCCGCCGCTAAGAAGGTCAAAAAGGGAACAACCTACGACAGATGACTGGACCACCGAAGATGCCCTGGTGATCCCCGTAGAGAGGTGTGCTAAGTGTGTCGTGAAGACATCTGATGTTGGCACACAGACTACGGGGATAGTGATGTCTAGCATACAATATAGAAACATTGCTCGTAGTGTGGATGGGGGTGAAAGGGGAGGGACCTTGGGGGTGGCTACCCCTATTGTGAGGAGCATACCAACAGAGAAGGTGGAAGAAGATGATGAAGATGGAGCCCTCAGCCCTCAGGGACCTCTTGTATATGATGACAACACCTCCCCTTACCCCTCCCACCCGACATCGGTACACTCCCCCCTCTTCATCGACGACGACGATGAAGAGGAAGGGGAACACGCCCAGCAGCTGTCGTGGGGCGACGACGACGACGGCGATGGAGGAGCTTTCACTAATTTTGAGGAGGCCTCTCATAACCGTCACCACCCCTCAGAAAATACGGTGACAGTGGTTGCAGACGTGCACAGGAACGGCGAGACACCCACTCGCCGTATCCGTGTGCGCAACCGGAGAGGTCGCCTCATTTTGTGAAATGTATGAAATTGTATGTATATATTGTATTATATTGTGTTATATGTTGTATATACCTGTATTAAATTTTTTTTTGATATCGTACACATTTAGTTGGTGCTGATTCGCGAATTGTGGGAGTGTGGAAAGGTAGAAGAGACCATTATGTCACACGCGCGCGCACGCACACACACACACAACACACACGTGCATGCACGAACACGTACTAGACGACCATTACCTTTATTTGTGACGGTTCAATGACCACGTGACGTCAATACCGTCGTTGTAGGGCGTGACGTCAGTGTGGTAGTATATTTTTGAGGTTGCGTCACCATCAAGTGACGTCACTACCTTCGTTTGTAGATCGTGACGTCACGAGACCAAGCGTCGTGACGTCATACGTGTATGACGTCAGTGTGGCCGTATATTTTCGAGGTTGCGTCACCATCAAGTGACGTAACTACCTTCGTTTGTAGATCGTGACGTCACGAGACCAATCGTCGTGACGTCATACGTATGACGTCAGTGTGGCCGTATATTTTCGAGGTTGCGTCACGTTACGTCACCTCGGAAATGTGCGGTCACCATACTACTCCCGGATCTTCACGGGTATAAAATAAAGAGGAACAGGGGAAACCGTTAACATTTTTAAGGTAGGTAAACCCTGTAAAATGGGCACCAGTGGCTTACCCTGGCCAGAAAGGATATATTCGGGATTCCATTTCAATGTCACATATGTTCTCGTCACGATATGGCTGAAATATTGCCGATGTGACGTTAAATAACAACTCACTCACTCACTCGGGATTCGGGATTACCTGATTGTTTAGATTGTAGTATGATATTTATTTACTTATACAGCAGTATCTTGAAAGGAATGGTGCATGACCCGTCCCTCCACTGTACACCATGAATGCAAGATAGAGACAGGCTAATCGGGCAGGACAGTGGGATTTCCACAGTATACAATAGGGTGAAGAGTGAGTGAGTGAGGTTTAGTTTTGCGCGGCTTTTACAAATTGTCCAGCAATATCACGGCGGGTACACCAGAAATGGGCTTCACATATTGTACTCATGTGTGGAATCAAACCCAGGTCATCGGCGTGACGGGCGAACGTTTTAACCACTAGGCTACCCCACCGCCCTTGACGAAGGCAGAACAAGGAGCTGTCGTGACATATCTGACGCGTAGGAAATGCACTTATAACTGTTTACACAAGCAAAGAAATGTTATACTTAAACCTTCCCAATCTTATCAGCTTGGACTCGCTCTAGATTCTCACCCGTCTGTGTACACAGGCGCACTTGATGAATGCAACAAAAAATGCATAATGTGCACTTGTAATGGTTAGTGTGTCTGAATTAGAACAATTAAAACTCACATGTGTGGAGCATGTCATTACAAAAAGATTAATAAAGTAGTTTGCAGAAATTGAAAGTTTAACCTTTGACAGAAGTAAACAACAGCACCACTCACCGCCAGCCTTGTTCGGATGTGTTCACACAATGAACCGGTGTAGCAGGTCAGCGTGTCCCTCTGGTGAAAATATCCACCTGCAACACCTTAGGAGGGCAGCATATGTTGTTCCCGTTCAGGATTACAAATCCCTCGTATGACATGCCAGACAGGATTCATCCGATATTCAAGCCACGTGTTACGTTCATTTCGTGTCTGCATTATAATATACGGATTTTACTAACCCCGGGTCTGGTTGATTTTCAGATCTGTAAATCGCTGTGAGTGCAGTAGTCTGTCTCACCGTCCCTGAACCACATTATTTTCCTTCTACCTAGCCCTCCCTGCAATGCTAAAGCCTGAAATGAAGCAAGTATAGACTTCCCCAGGTTCTGAATGTCCCATCTCACTGGGGCTCCTTTTCAATTTAAATGGGTTTATTGTTACTATGAAAATTATATACGTTCGGAGACTAATTGTTAGTCTATAAGTGCAGATTAGCTGGCATGTTTCAGTTTGAGTTTCACATTCAGATTTAAAATTATATCTCACATACTGGTGACAGAGATTAATAGATTAGTTTACAGAAGCAGAAACCTTTCTCGACAGAAAATTATAGCACAACTTACCACTAGCTCCGTTTGTGTGTGTTGACAATGAAACGGTGTAGCGGGACAGTGTGTCCCTCTGGTAAAAGTATCCGCCCGCAACATCTTTCCGGGTCATCCGACATACAAGTCACGTATCACGCCCATCCCAAAAGGAAAAACGTGACCTGTGTGGATAACTGAAAAAGTATCAGTATATGTATTCAGTATAGAACAAACTTTATGGATAATAACTTCTTTTATTCGTGAGTGGGACGTTTCGATACAGATTCGTGTACCGTTGTCAAGCATAATGGGACATGAAGAAGGGGAGTATATATATATACTGGATGTAACAATGTAACAAAGAAAACAACATAATTAACATAATTGGCTAGGCAGAAAGCTGATGAAGCCAGAGAGTAGACAAAGGACAGGCGTGGAAGCCAATGATGTACAAATAATAATGAGATGTTTATACAGCAGAATTTATACAGTAGATAGGGCTTGGTGGATGAGTGCATCATAAGCGGATGGAATGAAGTATCCTTGGTCTCGGTTGATGGTGGGCTTTTGGCGTTTGATGTAGATGGCTTCGGTGAGCTTGTCCCTTGTCGTGTTTGTGTCCAGCGTCCAAAGTGTGTATCTTTCAGCATATACCTTTCATTTATTAATATGTGAAAATATAAATCATATAATATAATATCATATCATATCTTATTACCTACGAGGGCGAAAATATCGGGTTTCACATTTTTTCATACATTTTTCACATTTCATAGGGCAAAATATCACTTTGTCGTGGTGACGTGACATTATGAACAATGTTATGACGTCACATTTCTTCTATGACGTGTTCTACATACGGCGACGGCGAGTAGCCAGCCTATGTTTGAAAGTAGATTTGGGTGTATTTTCCTCAATTTGACGACTTCGGTAATAAACAAAATATTATGTTCGTTCCCATATCATACTATGTTTACGACACTCGTGCCTTAAACACAGTATGACATGGGCACGAATATAATATCCTCTATATATCATAGCATATAGGTATTTATATAGCGCTATTGTCCATCTCATGTACATGCATGCCCAAAGCGCTGTGGTTTTCCCTTGATCACTGGATGTCAATCTCAGCGGCACATCGTATTATTCAATCTCAACTCCCTGGGGATTGTATAACTCGTGCAGTCACTAGGCGAACCAAGCTAATGTGGCTTTTCCATCCTTTCGAGGTACCCATTCACAGCTGGGTGGACTGGGACAAAGAATGGGTGTAAATTTCAAACTTTGTGGGGAATCGAACCCTGGATTAACTGAACACAAGACCATACCACAACGCTATTAGAGCTCGTCAAATATAGCTTCTTCGTTAAGCCTTCTGTACGATACATAATCAACTCTCAAGTCAGGATTGAAGCGTTGTATATTTCATGCAGGTGTTCGGCTCAGTTGTCACTTGGTGCCATGGTTACTGGTTCAGCCAATGAGCCCTCACTTCCGTTGCACGAGTTCTCGGTGCGCGTTATTTCCATGGGTTGAAGCAGACGGTAAGTACTCATTTGCCAGCTTAGACTAACTGCATGCCAAATAAATTCAACAAGTTTGTAATAAATCATTTAGATTTCTGATGAAAATGCGTCTGTTAACTTACCACTGATGTTTCCACTATTTACGCGCTACAGTGAATTATTTTGTGAAATGTATATGTAGCGGCCATAAAATTTCCGAGTCCTGTGCTGGGATTCGAACCACGGACCTTCTAATTCGAAGTCGGACGCCTTGTCCACATGACCAAATAGGTAAACCCCGTCAGCAAGCTGACAAGGTATGGATGTCATCTCAACGCCCTGCTACATACTCCCCCGTCAACAGACCGCATAGTTGGGTACTGAGACTTATTTTGCTCAAATTTAATATGAACGTGCTCAGCCCCACGTTGGGCGCCAATGTAGCGGCCATAAAATTTCCGAGTTCTGTGCTGGGATTCGAACCACGGACCTTCTAATCCGAAGTCGGACGCCTTGTCCACATGACCAAAGAGGTTAACCCCGTCAGCAAGCTGACAAGGTATGGATGTCATCTGTGGGATGACTCCACGCCCTGCTACACGAGACAAGCTAAAAGCATGATACGATTACCATTGAGGGTGGAGATAACTACTTAGGGGTTAATTAGAGAAGCCAGAGAGAGGGAGATTGGATTAATTAGTTTGGGTGGCGGTAAGCTGATGGGCGGTGTTTTTTATCTGTAGTGCTGCTCCTGATTATATGATGTGTAACATATTCGCGAGTTGCCATGTTGTAACATTCAGAACTCAGTGAGTGGGTGAATTAGGGTTTTAGCGTATGCTATATCGGTTTGTTAAATAACGTTTGTTCGCGAGTTGTGTTGTTATTGTGAACACATTAGTATGCTATACAAAGTTGTAACGATTCTCGGCACACTTGAGCTTCGTCCGCCAGGAGAGCGGAAGGTCGCGGGTTAAACCAGAGACCATATAATAATCTAATCCAAAAGGCGTTACTGCAATATGGTACTTGTTGGTCACTGCATGGCGCTCGGCATTAATGGGTACAACAAGGACTGGTCGGCTCGGAGTCAGTTTAATATGTCTGAGTGGGGTATGTATGCTTAACTGCGGCGTGGTATCTCAGTGAGTTGGCACTATGGGGACAAAAAGGCTGAAGTCTGGGCCAGTACAAGCAGCCACTGATACACATACATACGCATGCACGTCGTCATATGAGCGAAATATTCTTAAGTACGACGTTAAACCCCATTTCACCTCACCTCACCTTGGCACACTCCATTATATGTTACCAGTGATAATCTACGTCTTCTATTCTCCCTGATGTTACACAGGGCTGTAATAGACTGACAACCAATCAAGTGAACAGACAAAAGGTCATGTGTGGTGGCATGATTCTAATATTTGACGTTGTGTTCCTCGTAATGTTAAAATAAATGTAATTACAACTGGCATGTCAAGGGCGTGGCTGCCATATAGGCAAAAAGACAATTGCCTACAGATAATTTTGTATAAAAAATATTAAATAAAGGAAATGATAAATTTAAAAAGAAAAACGTTACAGGTGAATTTATTTCAACATGCTGAAAGCATGTATATGTACGTATAATAATTGCAATCTAAACTTTTTGCCTACACATAATATAGGCTCAGATACGCCCCTGCATGTCGACCGAGGACGACCGCGGTGCCTGGACATGGGTTAGACGCTACAACTGTAAGTGTGTGTGTGTGTGGTCACTGACATTGTACATGTTTCTCCATATAAATTATCGTCCTCCTCCACCCCCATAGCCATAACTTATGAACGGTCCATCTTGATCACAATATTATATAGTGCCAAGCAAGTCAGATTTTTTAAGATAATCCTGTGGCAAATCTCACCGGTAACTATCTTTAAAATATATATTAAGCCATAACGAATGCTACTTTCATGCGAAGACATGATGAAATTCAGATATGCAACATATCATTGGTTAGCTATATCACCACCTTGAATAATCACCTTTTCCCAATGTGTGACACGAACAGGTAAGGGAAGTAACTCTTCCAGCTGATAGCGACTTAATAAAATACTTCCGGGTTCTGTATTACTTTTCGATTGGATGTGACGTCACATAGTCTATAAATAGAAGGGGTATTTCCTGTTGTATACTGGCGAGATGAAACAATATTCTTGCTGTCGAGGGAGTATTTCGTAGTTTACATCAACAAAATGGGTGGTCAGAAAGTAACCGGAGATACGTTTACAAGGCACTTGCCATACTCCGTGGTGGCTAAACTAACGTCACTTCTAGATCCAGGAAAACAATGGGAGAAGTTTATTGTAAACATACCACGAAAATTGGTGATGTTGGACCAGGATGAATTTGTGCCGAAGTATGATCTTACGTATGTAAGTATGATCGATGAACGAGGCAAGAAGATGGGATCAAGTTCAACACGTGCAATCTTGGACGATTGGGGAACCCAGAATGTGCGTGTTAAACATCTGATCAAAGTACTGGTGATTTCAGAGTTGTACGCAGCCGCGGATTACTTGTCAGTGAATGTGTTGGGTGGGGAACCAGTGCCACGACCACGTTTGGAAACACCTAATGACAGAACGGGTCAAGAAGGCCTGTCAGAGAGGGATACAAGTGCTGCAAAAGAATATGAAGATAGAGAAACCATTTATGTTCGGAAACATCGTGAGGATCAGGTTTTATCAGAAATCCCGGAATCCTTTGAAAGTTTAAGTGAGGAGAGAAGACTTTCTGTGAGAAGTGGTTTACCATCTGCCGATCTGAAGTCAGGACTCAGTCTAGGGAGTATACGAGCTCCTGGAGAATCAGATGAAATTGCCGAAGAAGAGGAAGTTTTGAGACAGCTCAATGGAAATGAGGCTATCCTGTTACGACAACTTGACTTCAAAATGTTGAAACATATCACTAATAATTTCAATGAGACAGAAATGAGCAAGGGAGGCAATTTGATAGGCAGGGGAGGATTTGGGACAGTTTTTCTGGGTCAGTTTAACAATGGTTTCAAGATTGCTGTGAAATGCTTAAAGGAAGAAAATGATGATAATCTGAAACAGTTTCAGACAGAGTTGAATGTTCTCTCGAAGTATCGTCACGAAAACATTGTCCATCTTCTGGGATATTCCAGAGAAGATGCAAACCACTGCCTGATTTATGAGTACATGTCTAACGGATCATTAGAAGATCGACTTTCGCGAAAGAATGAGACAGAGCCTCTCAGCTGTCCAGTGAGATTAAGCATAGCTCAGGGCACGGCAAGGGGAATAAACTATCTCAATCAGAATGGGTTTGTTCATAGAGACATCAAAAGTGCAAATGTCTTACTAGACAAAGAATTTATTCCTAAAGTTGGTGACTTTGCAACTGCCAGATTAGCACCAAAAGGAACGGGCACAACATTCACACAGACAATGGTAGTGATTGGCACGTCAGCTTACTTAGCACCGGAGGCATTGCAGTTTGATGTCTCTGCCAAACTGGACACATACAGCTATGGGGTTGTCCTCCTTGAACTGTTGACAGGTCTTCCATCCTATGACGAGGAGCGAGAAGATCGAGATTTGTGGAGCCACGTTGAGGAGAACTGTGAGGATATCATGGACATGGTTGATCAGTTGGCCGGTTCCTGGAAGGAAGAGACGGCCATCGCCATGTACGACATCGCAACCAGGTGCCTTGTCAAGAAGAAGAAAAGGCCTCTCATTGAAGACATTCTTCCAGAACTGGAGAACTTGTCAAATTAAGAACTGTGTGATAGGACTGAGGAGTTATATGGTTATGTAACAATAACAGCAGAGGTATTAATAACTTTGTGACAGTGACACATGTAAAGTCAATTGCCCTGATAATTTTTCCACTCTACCGACCGTTTTCTTGCTGATTTTTTAAATAAAGAACATGATTAACATTGGAAAGTCAACTGGACACTGGTACAGTGTGATATACAAATTTGCTTGCCCGACAGAAAAAAATCACTGGACTCAGACATCGGGCAATGGGTTATTTCCACCCCTGTAACAAGGAGTTATGTAGTTATATAGCAATAACAAGGAGTTCTGTAGTTATATAACAACAACAACTTAACATGAGACTTCCAAACCACAATGAAAAACCTGTTTTCTAAACAGGATGATGAAAGTAACATTTTGATTTATTGTGAATTTCGGCCACAGTTGGGTAGTTTAATTAAGGTACAGTGTAATGCCCCTATGTATATATATTTTTAGCATGGCCTGTAGCAATCCATTAGGATGCAAAACCTTTTCTCATGACTCGTCACTAGTGTGCTAATATACTCCATAAATATGAATATTTGCTTTGTACATGTTACAAGCCTGATAAGATATATTTTGATAAATATGATACATGTTCCATATTAGGACTGATTTTGTCACAAGACATGTAGGAGTGGTGTAGATTTTTTCATACACAGTCAGCAATGTTCCAGTGAAGTCATAGGGCCTGTGAATAATGAAATCTTGGACAGACAAACCAGTGTTTGATATAGTGAAGAAAGTCCTGTGCTGAAGGGATGTGATGCCATTAAGTCAACCAAGTCACCCAGTCTTTGGGGAAGTGGGGTAGCCTCGTGGTTAAAACATTCGCTTGCAATGCTGCAGACCCAGGTTTGATTCCTGACATGGGTAGCGTGTATGAAGGCCATTTCTGGTGTCCGGTGCAATGATGTTGCTGGAATACTGCTAAAAGTGGTGTAAAACCATTCTCTCTCACCGGAGTATTGTTGTTGGGGCCTATATGTCCGAGTCCCTTGCAGGGGGAGTGTACACTTTGAGCAGCATATGACTTAGAGTAAGTTTTTTTGTTGTTGTTAGTTTTTAAGCCGCTTTTAGCAATATTCCAGCAACATCACAGAAGGGGACACCAGAAATAGGCTTCAGAGATACCAATACATGACTGATATATTTTTTTGTATGATGTTTCTGTTATGTATTATTTTGTCATGAACATTTATGTTGGTGTGGAACAGTGGGACTTGACTATTAGCTGTAAAATATTCAAGTGCATTTAATGCAATGTTACATATATTGTCCTGTCAGTCAAAGGTGGGTGGAAAGCCCACTGAGATTCAGACTAGATATTCAGGATGATTTATTCAACCTGTTCAAACTCACTACAGGCTATGCACATCAAACTGAAGTGACCAAAATTACATACCGCGGTAAGACCGCTTTCTTTGTGTCTTTAAAATATGTGTACACTGCTTAAGTTATCAGTGTGTACAGATAAAGCTAGTACAGTGTCATATAAGACCGCTTTCTGTGTGTCTTTAAAATATGTGTACACTGCTTAAGTTATCAGTGTGTGCAGATATAGCTAGTACAGTCTCATATAAGACCGCCTTTTGTGTGTCTGTAAAATGGTAGCAGAAAGTTTATTTTTACTGTCATCAGTTCGATGTTGCACTGTCGACACACAAAGGTGCCATGTGCTGGAGTTCTACATGGCCAGTCATCATGTAAGAAAATGTTGTGATGCAAACATATTTTTATTACAAATTTAGGAATGTTGTATGCTCTGATCATTTATTTTGTTTATGTTCACGTTATAGACAGGGTATTCAAATTAGCATTGATTTTAAAGGCTTGTAGAAGGGAGTCATCTAATAATTAAAAATATATGCGGGAATATACGGTAAATTATTAATGTATGGAGATATAGCTAAGATAGTTATGCTATATTGCCATAAATAAGTTTGAGTGGGTGAGTTTAGTTTAACACTGCACTCAACAATATTCCAGCTATCTGGTGGCAGGCTGTAACAAATCGAATCAGGCAATCCAGTGATCAACAGCATGAGCATCGATTGACGCAATTAGGATTCGATGACGTGTCAAGCAAGTCAGCGAGCTTGACCACCCGATCCCGTTAGTCGCCCCTGACGACAAGCATGGGTTACTGAAGATCAGTTCTAACCTGGATCTTCATGGTTTGAATAAGCTTGAATGTATGTATATAATTAACTTGATCTTATGCTGTAATGTTCCAATTCAGAGGCCTCATTCCGTTAATTGCATTCAAAATCATCAAAGTCATGATGAGATGATGATAATATCACATTGAAACTATGACCAATGTATTTGTACTTGTTCCGCTGACACAATAAACAATAAACACACGTTACCATCTGTTTATTTGCCTCAGAAGCTGCACAGGCTGCACGTTTTGGTGCAGGTAGTTACACTGTGTTCATGCTGAAAAACGTTTGCCCAGTTACTGAACAGTATGCCAGTGAGTAAAAGTTAATTGTTAGGTTATTTTCATTACTGTATCATGTGAAAGTTAAATACTGCAATATTATTGCACAGGGGTTCAAACATTGTTTGGACAAGAATTTATAAAAATAAAAATCTAGACTTTTGCAATCATATATTGTATTTATATGCTATGATTAACATACATTTCAAATTTTAACAAAATCGGTGAAGAAATAAAGATTTTTGAAAATTCTACTGCTACTCTCAATGTTTATTTTCGAACTCTCATGACTTCCTAGGATAGTTGATGTGTACATCAGTCAACGAAAATGTTGATTTCTTGCTTGGCATGATGACGAAAGCCTACATTTAGCAGGTTGTTTTAGACATTGATAAGGAACACCCATTGCCTTTAGGAAGTGGTTAAATGTAAGTAATTCATAATATAGCCACTTTCCAAAATATGACCACTTTCTACATGACACTGGGTTTTCATGCTTTCCCTTATGGGAGCTGTACCAGTGTACTCTTGTTTGAGGGGATACCCGTGCAGAGATGCCAACCTCTACGATTTTATCGTAGTCGCTACGAATGTTAGCTTCAAACTACATCAATACGATTGCACTAGAAATTCTATGAAATTTGAAGAAAATTCATTAAAATTCGGATATATAGACAAAAACATATTTTTGTCGATTAAATACATTTTCGCCAAAAAGATGACAAGAAGAAATGTAATGCTGATAATTTGGAAATCTGCTGTTGGAGGTATGTGAAATTCAAGCTTCACACTTTGTTAGTGACATATTGTCTTTCTCAGAATCCATCATGATTTTAAGTATTTAGTTGACTACTAATTTCATGGTCAAACTAATTAGTTTGATCCTTGAAACTACCATTTGCAACACTTTGGGGTTGGCACATTGTCCTAATCCTAAACATCCGGTTAAATTTGGTTGGCGGACAAGGCTTCTGAGAGTTTCTAGTTCTGCCCTACACTGAAGAACATTTGGTGCTAGTTATCCTTGCTAAATTGACTTTGTTTGAAACAAGCCTCTGCTCTCACAGCAGTCACTATATGTGTCCGGCTGGATATGCAGTTATTAAGCTGTTAAACCCTATGGAGCCTAAGAGTAGTTGAGTTTAGTTTTACACCACTTTTAGCAATATTCCAGCAATATTATAGCAGGGGACACCAGATATGGGCTTCGCACACTGTACTCATGTGGGGAATCGAACCCAGACTTTTGGTGTGATGAGCGAGCACTTTAAGCACTAGGCTACCCCATCGCCTACTACATGTAGGAGTTTGAGAAGCAATACTCCCAGGGAGAGGATACAAAGTGCAGTGATCCACTGACCAGGGGCTCTTTCACGAAGCAACCTTTACTTAGGGTTAACCTTAACTCCCATTCTTAAACATTGCGCTAAGGTCACCTTAGTGACTTACGACCACCTTAGTGCTTCGTGAAAAGGTGAGGTGAAATGGGGTTTTACGTTGTGCTTGAGAATATTTCACTCATATGACGACGTGCATGCGTGTGTATGTGTATGTGCGGCTGCTTGTACTAGCCCAGACTTAAGCTGGTTTTAAAGTGCTAGCCCACTGAGATACCATGCTGCAGTGAAGCATGAATAACCCACTCAGACACATTATACTGACTCCATGCTGACCAGTCCTTGTTGTACCCATTAATGCAGAGCGCCAGGCAGGGACCAACAAGTACCATATTTTAACGTCTTTTGGTATGACGCGGTCGGGGATCGAACCCGTGACCTTCCGCTCTCCGGGTGGACGCTCTAACCACTACACCACGGAGGCGGTCTCGTGAAAAGAGGCCCAGGGTAATAATGTTAGTGCTTAGAACATGCACCTTGTGTATGGAGTTATGCAGTACGAGTACACATCATAATGAAGGGACATAACTCTATGAATGTTTACACAGTCTTTACGAAAGTTTACTTGGGAACAAATTGAATGGTAAAATGAGTGATTAACACTAGATATGTTATATCACATCTATTGATCTATTGTTAAAACAAAACGAATAAACCACAGATATTTATAATGTCAATTTTATTGCATCTTTATGTGTATGGTTTGGACATATGAAAACAATTCACAAAATTCATAACACAACAATGAAAAGGGTATCTTAAATGCCATGGTACAGTTTATTCTCATTGACATTTCCAAATATCCGCTTCCTGGGAGATTGATAATGTAAATCAGGAAAGTTTGAAAAAGATTTTTTTTCAGACTAAAAAGGAACAGAAATAAGTCATCAGGAAGCTTTCTTTTTTTCACCTCCACAAGTTGTCAGACCAACCAGTACATGAGTAAATAGATGATCCCTCACATCCTGTTCCTTAAAGGTCACATGCAACGTAAAACACAACTTTGCATATTCTGATTCTGAACAGCTGCGCTGCGCATGCCCACCCTCTCTGACTGGGTTCGGTATCCCGGCTGCTTCTTTTCGAGGGAAGTAAACCCAAGGCGCAAAACATTGAACTTTTGATTTGCGATTGTACACTTATAATTTTATTTATTTGGGTTTTTTTATAATCAGCAATGTATATTATAGGTCCTGAATAAGTGATAATTGTGTTTTAATTATGTTTGTTCTTTTGGTTGCATGTGACCTTTAAGCAAACAATGTCATTCTGAGTCCATAGTCTTAGCAGGATCACTAACATGCCACAATTTGTCAAGTTGTTATGTAGCACTGAAGATCTTATAGGATGACTATTGAGGGGGAAACAACTACTGCAATAGCGATAGTATATTGCAACATACTATTGCGATAGTCTCAGTCTCCTTCAGTCAGTTTCAGTCTGTTTTAATAACTGACAAGGAACTTGAACCCAAGATCAAGTTTGTTTGGGAGGTAACAGGGGTGTATAACTCTAAATCAAAGTGAATGAATCTGGTACTTCCTGTATTTTGCACTGCACATTTATCAAAGGAAGTCAACTACTAAACTATAGTCACATCTATCAATGCATCGGTAATGTTTCGTTTCTGCCATCGATTAATTGCTATCGGAGACTCAACAATTGCAATCCATCGATAGTTCAATGCATCCTTACAGCCCTAGTATCTTATAAAACTACCATTAGATAAATATACTTCTTCAAACATTGCTATTATACTAATAGTACATTAAAGATGGTGTCTTCGATGAATTGTGCCTACTGTAACACAATCGTTGTTTACATGTTCAAGTGTCAGTCGGGCAGCCTAAAACTGTATAGAAAAACAATTATTAGATGTAAGTCAGCAAGTTGGGTTTTATGCTGCCATATTAAAACATTCCATCAATATCTCAGCAGGGAACACCAAAAATTGGGATTGTAACCATTCAGGGAATCAAACCCAGGACTTCAGCATGCCAATTGAATGCTTTAACCACTAGGCTCCCCACTTCCCCCTCAAATTCTGCAAATCTAAGAGGAGTTAGAAGAATTTTACTCCCTCCTTGAGTGGCCTTTGTTTATGTCGTAATAACTTCCTTAACTAATATGTAGATAGTATAGAGATAATGATATCAGAGACATATTGATTACTGCCAACTCAGAAGAAATGTTGATCTATTGTTAACTATAAAAAATGAATTATCACACAATGAGCGTTAGAAATTCATTGTTTTTTTTCGACTATACTAGTGCACTTGTGTGAACATAAGAGAGATCACAGGATTTCACCTGTGAGACATGTCCAGTTGGGGAATGTATGTCTACTGGTATATATGTTACAGACAGATTGTGAAATCAGTATCCTAAATATATATCCTTTCAAACACTAAAAAAGACTGTGAGCTGCTGCTATGCCACTGTACACAATACTGACTCAATATCACGATGGCAGTTTCAGATGTTGGGGAACATCAGTCTGCTTTGGGATAAGCTAAAATATTTCAGAGAAAAATCTGAATTTTACATTCGTGAATGTGCATTTGACAACTGCAAATGTTGTTTCAACCTGACTTTTCTCGTTTGGTTCTGAATACCATACCAGAATATCAATCCTTTACATTAGCTAAATACTATGGAAATAAGTTGACTAACATAGCACATGTTTACATCACGAACAGAAAAGTCTGTTGAAAGAATGCTACAAAATCACTTTTATTTTGTGAGTGAAGGGAGACTAACATTTACAAGAAAAACATGACAGACTGATAGTAATAATGTTTCATACAAAAAAGTCAAGGGCGGCACTTTGAGGGGGAGCAGGGTTAATTCAGTTGTTATACAGTTTGATGCTTGCAATCAGCACTAAAATTGTTGTGTCTTACATTGCTTTGTACTCTGATTTATGATAATCATGACTTATTATACATCGACTGACTGACTGACTGAGTATGGTTTTACGCCGTTTTTAGCAATATTCCAGCAATATCACGGCGGGGGACACCAGAAATGGGCTTCACAAATTGTACCCATGTGGGAAACGAACCCGGGCCTTTGGCGTGAGGAGCGAACGCTCTAACCACTAGGCTACCCCAAGGCCCTACTATACATCGAAAGGCTATAGCACTAAAGTGGACTATTACTACTATGCAAATTCACTGATATGAATATTGTTATCATAGCGTCTTAATTTCAAACACAAGCATAGCACAAGTACACAAGGTACCACCAGGCTATGAAAACTGATTAATTTGGGGAGTCCTTGTAACTATTAAAAGATTGATGAACTGACTGACTGACTGAGTTTAGTTTTACGCTGCTTTTAGCAATATTCCAGCAATATCACAGCGGGGGACACCAGAAATGGGCTTCACACATTGTGCCCATGTGGGGAATCGAACCCAGGTCTTCGGCGTGACGAGCCAACGCTTTAACCACTAGGCTACCCCACCGCCCAGAGATTGATGAACAAGTTTAACTCCAGTCTACAAAATAATTATAAAAAAAACAAAAAAAAAACAATCCATTTCAGTATAGAAACATGCTAGTCAGTAAACATTCATTCTGTTGAGTGACATGATTCATAATGGAACAATTCTGTAACAGTCCCTTGGATGTTATGGAACTAGCAGAGACTAATGATGATGTGTTGCATCAAACATAACTTCTAAAAGACGTGATCAATATTTTGCACGAGAATAGTTTCATATACTAAGCATAGTTTACAGTTAGCCATGAAACTCCTTATCGTGACCCCAATGTTGTCCACTGACTGGACTTTGTTATTGGTGACTAGAATCAACAAGAAGTTGTTATCCGTGAAGTTACATGCTTCATTATTGTCCATAGATTCACACACTGTAGCAGCAAACATCAGTAATCCAAGGATCCTGTTTAATGGCGAATTTCAAACACTGCAAAACATTTCTGTTAAATGAAACACAGAGTACAGAGTATTCGTTTGTTGACTTCTACCCTAACAGCATGACAATTCAAATGTCTAAAAGAGAAGTATCTAATCTACAGTTACATATTTCTAAACAGTGTGTCTCTTACTTCAAAGTGATGATATGGGTTAGAATTGGTCTTCAACAGACCATTGCCTAGATTTTCGAAGCTCTCTTAGCGCTAAGATAGTCGTAAGTGCCATACATTAACATTAACTTACGACTATCTTAGCGCTAAGACAGCTTTGAAAATCTGGGCCCTTGCTTGTAGAAACAGGCAATAAACGGGATCAGGTGGCCAAACTCACTGACATGGCTCACACATGTCATTGTATCCCAGCTACGTAGATCGATGCTCATGTCAGTCACAGCATGGTCTTGTCCAGATCTTTTACTTACGGATCGCCATCATATAGTTGCAAAAAATTGCTAAGTGTGACGCTAAACTACAAACAATCATGCTCCATGGAATCATCGAAACTCTACTTCTATGTTTCTAGTAATGTAGTAAAGAAATAGCTGCCTTGAAAAACATTTTGAGCATGGATATGATTAAGGGAGGAGACCTCAGTACACTCATCTGTATGTAAAGTATTCTTAAACAACTAACAAGCCAGCCACATGCTGGTGTATATATAATAGTGTTTCCCCAGGATCCGAAAAGGGCACGGCAACAGAATTTCAAAAGGGTCATGCAATTGCAGATTTCCAACTAGAATTATGTTAAGTTATTCATGTATACATGATTCTTAATGGCTTAAAGAGCACTTCGATATGAAATAGAAACTAAAAACCAGTAAGTGTTAATATCAATTAGCCCTGCTAAAAATGCCATGGGGAAACACTATAAAATTCTTTTATGCTTTTCACTTTATGATAGAGGTCCTCGGACATTCCATAGGATTAACATTTACACATAAAACAAAATCAGTTTGATGAATCATGTATTATAATACCTCAATCAAAAGTTGTCTTTCACTTAACTTACCAACCTTTCTTCTTTAAACCCTAGTAATGGATCTTTATTTTTCGCCTTATTTTTTGAGGTTTTATACATATAAATTCTTTCTTCATGTTGTTCCAATGAATTAATGCAATATATTTCCAAACATACACTTATTTATTTATATTTCACTTTACTTACCAACCTTTCTTCTTTAAACCCTAGTAATGGATCTTTATTTTTCGCCTTTTTTTGAGGTTTTATACATATAAATTTTTGAGGTTTTATACATATAAATTCTTTCTTCATGTTGTTCCAATGAATTAATGCAATATATTTCCAAACATACACTTATTTATTATAATCATGATAACAAGAAGTCTTAAACAGGTGTCAGTGACTTTTGATCAACTCATGTCTAAGTCAGCTTGATTTCCCTCTAGACTTTTTCGTTCTGGTTGTTTTAAGGAGATTGTAGTCCACATAAGTGCAATATTTTGCTGATACAAATGGAATGTAGAACGCTCGCAACAGCCGATGAGATCTGAAAGACAGAAGCATAATAAACTAATAACAACTCAGCAATCATCAACTAACAGCTCATCAGCTATCACCTCAAAACCAGCATCATATATCATGTACTCTTGAACTGTCACCTTAGCATCTCTTCGTAATCATTAGTAACGGCAATCTCATGAATTGTCAACCATTGACTCGTGAAGTCGGGAGTCACCATCAAATGGACTCCTCATTCCTCAACTTGTGAACTCATCAATCCTCAGCTTGTTAACTCATCAAACATCAACTTGTGAACTTATCAATTATCATCTCAAGTATGAACCGTCAACTCATAATCTCATGAACTCATCAACTACGAACCATCATCTCATCAACAATCATCTTTGATGCAATCAACCATCAAATCATCAACCCTTCTAACACTAGAGCTGTGACGATATATCGTAGTATCGATAATCGTGATACTTTATCTGACGATAAATATATCGATATGTTTTTTCTTATCGTGATATGTATCTTTGACCTTAAAATTGTTAATTTTCATTAGATATTGACAGTTATGTCAAAATTTCTTGCTATTAAAATATAATTTTTTAAGGAAAATAACTAAAGAAAGCATATCGTGATATGCATTGAATCGAATCGTATCGTTCCAAGATATCGCGATACGTATCGTATCGTGAAATTTCTGTATCGTCACACCTCTATCTAACACCTAATAAATAAAATACTGATGAATTCTGAAACATTGAAACCTCGAAGTTGACATATTTGCCTGGCATTTCAGCACTCATTAGTGGGGAGATAATCTCCAGCCGAACAGCTTGTAATAACTCTCTTATATTTGCCATACTTTGGTTTCTAGAGAATTTCTAGTTTCTAGTACAATTACAAGAAAGGCATCAGCTCAATCCGTCTGTTGAAACAAGTTTGCATACCATGGCACCTTGCACACTTGAAAGTTTCAAGTATTTCTTTCTTTATTAGGAAGACTTATGAACAAAATGGTGTTGACTTGCTGATCAAACATGAAGCCAAATCATAATGCTCTGATGTCTCCAGTGAAAACTACATTGCTGTCTGTGGCCCTGAGGAATACTGGTGACCGAACATCTGCAATATCTCCAAACTGAATGCCGGGACAGAATATGAAAGGTAGAAATATCTTATCTGCGACTCAATGTCACTAAAATCTTTTACTCCAACATGATAACTTTATGTGTGAAGACCTCAATATATTTCAATGTTTGGTGAATTCTTCTGAACACCTAATCTGTATCGAGGCTGCTAAATTCGTAGTAGAAGTGAGTTAAGCATTAAGACAAGCATATCTGATTTCTGCATCCAAAATTATAGGCAAAAAAGGAACACACTTACATATTGCCATGGTATTTCATGCCCTATTTGTACCCAAGCACTACAGCATTTTCGCCAAAAGAGAGTACAGTCTAGTCCATATTTGTGCTGTGTTGGTTTTCACTGATAAAAAAACGATTTCAAATGGGGGTGGTTATGAAATGAAGCCTGATTGTTTTAGAAAGCTATCATCTGATCATTTCAAGAACTCTGTGTTCACCTGACATGCCTTCCTAGGGAGGGGTATTCAGATCTTCACACAGTGAAGAATCACAGCTGAAAAATAGGGCTAATATTAATTAAATTGGTGTGTGAATGTAAGAACTCACCTCGTTGGATCTAAGAATTTTACGGAAGATAAAACTTTCCAGTCCTCCATCTGTGAATACCGTGGTTCATGAGGGGACTCCTGGTCTAAATCTAGATCAATCAGATAGTGACATCTGCTGATGTTTATCTGAAATGTGTCATGGAGAGTAAACAAGAGAGAATGAGTGACATGGAGCGTACTTTGTAGTCTTGTAAATTTGGATCAAATTTAACTGTAGCTGTTATTTGAAAAGGTTAGTGCTATCAAGTGACATTAGTACAACTCACATATCTAGAAGGTTCCTCCAGATTGAGGTCGTTCATGTGAGTCGGAATAATTCTTGTTGCATCAGGTCCTGATTCATAAGCTTTGGGTAGTTGACCTCTGAACTCTGACTTGATAAACTGGAGATGCCAGCTGAAAACAGTGATACATGACCTCGTCAACTGAATTCAATATACAGGTAAGTCAGGTGTTCTGGGGCAGGTGAAAACACGACCTCGTCAACTGAATTCAATATACAGGTAAGTCAGGTGATCTGGGACAGGTGAACACAGTGATACACAACCTCGTCAACTGAATTCAATATACAGGTAAGTCAGGTGATCTGAGACAGGTGAAAACAGTGATACACCACCTCGTCAACTAAATTATGTATACAGGTAAGCCAACCGATCTGGAATGATTGATGGAAACAATTGGTGCTACAAGAGGTCAAAGTTGGGGCTATTCAGCCAAGCATTGTTTCATCATATGAGTTTCTTAACCATGATAGTATGAAAGCTTTGGACATTGAAAGCTGAGGGAGGGGTGGTTTTGACGCATCCATAGGGTGGGTAGGGGGGTCTCACTTGTCATGAGGTAAGGGTGGGGTGTCTCACTTGTCATGAGGTAGGAGCGGGGTTGACTCACTTGTCATGAGGTAGGAGCGGGGTTGACTCACTTGTCATGAGGTAAGGGTGGGGTTGACTCACTTGTCATGAGGTAGGAGCAGGGTTGACTCACTTGTCATGAGGTAAGGGTGGGGTGTCTCACTTGTCATGAGGTAGGAGCGGGGTTGACTCACTTGTCATGAGGTAGGAGCTGGGTTGACTCACTTGTCATGAGGTAGGAGCGGGGTCATGACTCAAGCGGTCATGAGGTCATGAGGTAAGGGTGGGGTTGACTCACTTGTCATGTGGTAGGAGCTGGGTTGACTCACTTGTCATGAGGTAGGAGCGGGGTTGACTCACTTGTCATGAGGTAAGGGTGGGGTGTCTCACTTGTCATGAGGTAAGGGTGGGGTGTCTCACTTGTCTTGAGGTAAGGGTGGGGTGTCTCACTTGTCTTGAGGTAGGAGCAGGGTTGACTCACTTGTCATGAGGAAGGAAGAAACTGCTTGGAAACCTGTACCACTCCTTGCCCACGCAGATGTTGACTGGTCGGTCAGCTGGTAGTGTGTGAATCTTCGGGTCATTTGCCATTTTGTTCAACTCTACATAGATATCCATAGACGCATGGTAGCCTACACAAAGGGACTTTGTCAGTAAAAAACATGTCAGTAACAACATATTCTCCAGTCAAATACTAAATGTGAACTAACTGAATCTGTGTTACTGGTATAATTAATTACAGCTAAAATGGATGGAATTATCACTATCGCCCGCATGTTATAAGAAATGGTCTTTCTCGGTCTTTTCAACTGCTCTCCTTTGTACGGATTCTACAAATGATAATGCCCTGAAATTAGCGTTACCCTTATATTATTATGTTGATAACAATGCTGAATGTAATAATGATATGATATACTATTAACTAGTGTTGGAATTGGTTGAAATCTCACAATTGATGTTTGGTTCAATACCAACAACCAATAATCGGACAAAAATGGTTAGCGTCATTTTTTAGATTTTCCTATTCAGGTTGTAGTTGCAGATAAGTATAAAGAAAAAACATTCGGTTCTCTAATGTTTTTTTGTTTTATTTAGAAACTGCACAAATTACATTTGCAAATTTCACATCCAGTGTTAAATGATTCAGTTCCAGTGTAACATAAACTTCCCATATTCGTCAAGAAATATTCAGTCATGACTTTTCAGAAAGTGAAGTGAGTTTTCTAAGAATTAAACACGTTTTCTGGCCCTGACAACGTCCTAGATATGTTCCATCATCAAGTATTTCAAACTCTATTACAGCGGTTCCAAAATCGTTTGTGTTCGATTATGAGAAAATGTGATCGATTGCTTGGTCGTTTGGCCACTGCGACCATACTTCGATTATTTCAATTAATCGGAACACCACTACTATTAACAATACATGAACACAGACACATACAGGCACATAGACACTTTGTTCAGCTAATTACTTCTATGTCTAACTTCCCCTTGACAAAGTTACAAATCGCACCTTGGTAAATAGCAATGATCCTGGACACAGACAGCAGCGTGAAAAGGGCTCCACTAAACACTGATATCCAGTTGGTGTGATCCGTGTAGTGGTAGGCTGATCTCTTAGGGAACAGATAGCTCAACAGTTTCTGTAAAAACCAACAACAATCCACAACTGAAACACGTTTGTTGTTTAACCTTGCACTCTGCAGTGTTCCAGTTAAATCAGGGCACACTGCGATGCAGAGTCTGGGCAAGAAATAACAGTATTTGACATAATGAGGACATCCCAGGATGTATGGGTACGATATTATCAATCAAGTTAGACAAAGATAACTAGTCTAATTCATCCCTCACGCATGTTTGCTGGATACCAACATCGTTGAACATGTTCGGTAGTTGCAACAAATATAATTTGCTGCGGGATATTGTGTGAAGAAAAGAGATGTTATTGGACAAAAGACTGGATTCACAGCTGACGAAGCCATGTATCTCACTCGTGTGTAAACAAGTATCACATGATACCAAAACTAAATTTCATTGGCTTCACCCGACTTGCTGATACAATCGATACAAGTTAAAACTGCTGATTTGTCCTTTTTACCAAAATGGTCGGTAATCAAAAACAATTTGATACATCAAAACCAACCCATGTGTCCCATGATGGGCAAATAGCAATTTCAAACACTGTATCTAAACATCTCCAAACATCTCCTGTAATACTTGTCGACACTGTAAAACAGCAAGTCTGCATGCTGCCAGACTGACACACTAGCTCTGACTACACGTCTATGTTTACCTGTACATGATCCTGACATTCTGCTGACCAATTATCTCATCATAGATCTGTCTTTACCTGTACCAGTACATGATCCTGACATTCTGCTGACCAATTATCTCATCATAGATCTGTCTTTACCTGTAACAGTACATGGTCCAGAAAGTCTGTTGAGCTGAATATGCTCCAGACATTCTGCTTATCTGACACACTAGCTCTGACTACACATGTCTATGTTTACCTGTACATGATCCAGACATTCTGCTTATCTGACACACTAGCTGACTATACATGTCTATGTTTACCTGTATATGCTCCAGACATTCTGCTTATCTGACACACTAGCTGACTACACATGTCTATGTTTACCTGTACATGATCCAGACATTCTACTTATCTGACACACTAGCTCTGACTACACATGTCTATGTTTACCTGTATATGATCCAGACATTCTACTTATCTGACACACTAGCTCTGACTACACATGTCTATGTTTACCTGTACATGATCCAGACATTCTGCTTATCTGACACACTAGCTCTGACTACACATGTCTATGTTTACCTGTATATGATCCAGACATTCTACTTATCTGACACACTAGCTCTGACTACACATGTCTATGTTTACCTGTATATGATCCAGGCATATAGCACCTCCAAGGGCAAAGAAGGGGTATATTGGGAACAGAAATCGTTCCTCCTGCAAAATACACAGAAGAATGACAAATATACACTTGATGCAAATTAGGAGATAATCTTTATTGCTTTAAATTTAGTAAACTGATTAAACACTAGTAAAGTTAATTCTAAAATGATGTTAGAGCATGAGATTTCTAATCTAGAAAATACACAAGTTATGGAGCAAGAAATCTCTAAATTGAAATCTAAAAAATACTCTTCAACATTTTGCAATAATGAAAGTACAAGGTAATATTATCTCAGATTGAATGGCTGAGTTCAGGGATAAATGACAATCAGTTTTAGTGGTGTCACCATGAGTGCTTGTGCAGCACTGAATGTTTAGCCGTGTTGATGTAACTGAATTTTGCATTACACTGTTTTAGCTCTTGATCATCAGGTTTGCTGTGTATGATCTACAGTCACACTTGCTGATAGTATTTCTAGAACACATTAAATCAATGTGTTTATTTAAAGTAATAAATTACAAATTGTTTCTGGATCATGATGATTCCAAGCTTCCACAGGCCAGGTGAAACCCTCATACTATAACAAGTAAATCCAATGGGAAGTTTATCAATTACCTTGTGAGGCCTGGTGAAGAAAATGGCAATCCAGATGTACATTGGAGCCAAGGACAGCCACATTGGAATACCTGCAGGACAATGTAGGGTAGAGTCACGTGGTGTTAGTGTCACTGGGAACAGCAATACTGATGTTCTTTACCTAAAGACTAACAAATCCGCTGTTAGAAATTGTGAAAGAACATTCAGGGTTCCATGTATCAATTATTCTTGGGTTAAAAATCACAAATTTACTGAGGTCCATATATTCAAGAACCATAGATGCAAATCCCAGAACCCTTTCTTCACTTTTACCTCTGGGGATGCATGCTATCCTACCAGCCCGAGGAGTGGACCTAGAAACTATATAAACTGACTGAAAGTATAGTTCTGTCCACACTTACAAGTGTCCGATGAGCGAACCACCCAGCGAACAATTATCTGAAAAAGACACGTTTTAGAGATTACAATTTATATTTTCAACTCATCATGGTGTAAAGAACAAAGAAATGTTGTATCAACTACGCCTGTGACAAAGTCAAACAGAAATACTTTATAAGTCCTTACATTTTAATCGGATTGCCAAACACTTCCCTCATAACTAACTAGATTTTTTACCTCAGTGCCATATTCATTCTATAAATACAAGACTCTCACTTTTTTAACTACTTTGTAGAATGACATCTTGTTTCACAGATACCTGATTACTGTTAAAATGTCAATAGTGGACATGTTTGGTTTAACACTGCCTTAAACAGTATTGCAGATACAATGTATATATCATGGTTATATATCAAGTTCAGGGTGGAAGAAACTGATGCAGGTTTTAAACTTCATAATTTTGGTGAAATAAGCACAGCTATGGTGTGAGAAAAAATCGTGAAACATTATCATGCCAAACTCGGATTTGCACCTCTATACTCTGATCACAGGCTTCAGCTCTGTACAGCTCATTGCAAAACAAACACATACAATGCCAATAAACAGGGTTTCTAGTTGATGATGTTGGCTGCCACGAATACTCCATAGCACATGCAAATCTGGACACACAAGATGCTTATTCCTGCAAATAATCAACATCACTGAAACTACTCACGGCTACAGGTAAACAGACCAGGGCAGCCAAGAACATCACATTGAAGTTGAGGAATCCATTGAGGAAGTAGAAGGAGAAAGGCTCCACCCCTGCATCAACCACAACACAATGACACCATGTCAATCAAAACTACTCAAAACCATCAAATATTTGGCAAGTTTTCAAGGGTTGGACAGTTGGATGCTGTCACTTGCATGAAACAGTAAACATAACAGGGTGAATGTTTGAATTTTTTCCTGAGGTGAGCAATATTTTAGGGCTATTTTGAATCTTGTCGCTGTTTGGCTCTAGGGACAGGCTGGACAATTCTGTCCTTGGCAGGAGTGAGTGAGTTTAGTTTTACGCCACACTCAGCAATATTCCAGCTATATGGCGGTGGTCTGTAAATAATCGAGTCTGGACCAGACAATTCAGTGATCAACAGCATGAGCATCGATCTGCTCAATTGGGAACTGATGACATGTGTCAACCAAGTCAGTAAGCCTGACCACCCGATCCTGTTAGTCGTCCTTGGCAGAAAAGATGAATAACATGATATATACATATAATTAATCAGGATGTCTGCACTACCATATTATTATCGCATAGTATCACTGACAGCGTTCAAAATCAAGTACAGGGTACAAAAGACACAGCTTCATTTTAATCCTTTAGTTTAAAATCAAAACAATTGGGGTCCCTTCTTTCAAGCATGATACCAGAAACCCTCAATGACCCCAGAACTCTCCTTAAACACTGAGAGAGATGGATTTACACTAAAAATACTAATCAGGACAACTGCCTGATATTTGTCTTGCTACAATATCTCATGCTATCTCACCATACAAGTCTGGCCCATGATCACTGAAGACATTGTAGAGTAGGATGTTGAGGGGTGCAACCACCAACTTGTCGTAGTAGAAGGAGTCGAGTTGAACCAAGGGCAGCTTTAAAAGGAGAGGCATTCAGTAACTAGACACTCAACTATTGTTATTAATAAGTTAAAGGCTGTATTTCACAACCGTGGAGCAAAAGTATATTTGTTTGTAGATTTTCACTGCAGTCAGATGTACATGTTACATGTCAGATCATGAATAATCAGGGTCTGACTAACTAGTTATGTACTGGTATACTGAGCAGTATCTGACACTGTCAGGGTATATTGACACTGAGCCTAAGTTCCTGATCAAATTTAGCCATGGACTCCAGGGGCGGATACAGCTTTTGGAGAAAGGGGGTGTGCACACTATTGAGAAAAGGAGGGGTGCACACTTCATTTTCACCCGAGGTTCAATGGTCATTTAACAAACTTTCAGCACAAAAGGGGGGGTGCGCACCCCTCCACCCCCCTCTGGATCCGCCTATGGTCACAGACTGCTCAGTTCTCTCTAACTGTGATTTGTTGGCAAAGGCAATATGAGTTTAATAAGAATAATAGTTCACTGCAGAAGATACACAATCAGCCAGGCCGTGTACAAACCACACGATAACAACCCAGAAAACTCACCAGGAAGAGAACAAGGGATATGAAGCTCCACACCACAAATGTCCTGATGTCCTTCTGTCGGAGCAGAATATCCCACGCTATAGGTATCCTGAAAAAAAAGAAGAGACAAAATCTGAGAGCTGTGTAGACTGTTTTTGCTGTATCTTATTTTAAGAGGTCCAAATTCTATATTTATTTTCAAAAGACAAAGGCATCAACTGATACTGAAAACACAGGATGCAAAAGAATTCCTTGTTTGAAGTGAACATTGTAAGAGTACAGATTCATACAAGAAGCTTGCGACTGATATTTAACATGTAAATGTTCTTGACGACAACAAACATATAGAGTTTATGTATTGTTGCATTTACACCATTTGTCATGCTTATCCCTGAGAGATAATGATGAAATGATTGATAAAGTATATGACCATATGTTTAGTATTATGATTAATACCCATCAAAGTTGCTGAGTCAGGAATATTTGCCTACCCCAGTGCTGCAGCAAATGGCCAGCCTATGATGGTGCTGGCTGCTATTGCAAGGATGGACAGCTGCAACAAGGGGAGATGGAAACAGTTGAACATCATACAGCATCTAAATACAATAAAGATGTGAAGCATGCTCATCACTTTCAATTTATGGAATTAAAAACAAATCAGATACATAGTTTCAAGTTCATCAACATGACATGATACTGTCTGAGTAACCACGTCCCCATGGCCAGCATGGTGAGATACATGGAGAAACTGCAGCACCCAGGTCGACAACAACACTTACATGATACTGTCTGAGTAACCACGTCCCCATGGCCAGCATGGTGAGATACATGGAGAAACTGCAGCACCCAGGTTGACAACAACACTTACATGATACTGTCCGAGTAACCACGTCCCCATGGCCAGCATGGTGAGATACATGGAGAAACTGCAGCACCCAGGTCGACAACAACACTTACATGATACTGTCTGAGTAACCACGTCCCCATGGCCAGCATGGTGAGATACATGGAGAAACTGCAGCACCCAGGTTGACAACAACACTTACATGATACTGTCTGAGTAACCACGTCCCCATGGCCAGCATGGTGAGATACATGGAGAAACTACTGGGCCTAGGTATACACATCTCACCCTAACAACACTTACATGATACTGTCTGAGTAACCACGTCCCCATGGCCAGCATGGTGAGATACATGGAGAAACTGCAGCACCCAGGTCGACAACAACACTTACATGATACTGTCTGAGTAACCATGTCCCCATGGCCAGCATGGTGAGATACATGGAGAAACTGCAGCACCCAGGTCGACAACAACACTTACATGATACTGTCTGAGTAACCACGTCCCCATGGCCAGCATGGTGAGATACATGGAGAAACTGCTGGGCAAGTAGCTGGAGCAAGAGATGAACATTCCAGCACTGAACAGCAGAAACCACAATGTCAGTCGGCCAGTGTTGGCCCCGTAGTGCTTACATACTCCCCTGAAACAGACACAAAGTTGGTGTTATAAGTCCAAATCCTACCATAAAAATTAAAACATCAGGGTGTCTCTATTAAACAATTATTGTACAAATTTGCAAGGGCACCACTAACTTGAAATTCTGATGTGGTTAAAATCCCTCAAAATGATGGTTTTACAATTACAAAACAAAAAACTTTAACTTTTTGGTTGCTCTATTCTCATGTTAGTTGTCTCTTATATATAATATATACAGAGCATATGTGGCAAAAAAAACCCAGTTTTTAATCAATACTTACTTGTAGAAGTAGGTTTCACACAGGGCGCAGATAAATCCTAGGATACAGCGCAGGAGATAGAACAACACAATCTGGTGGGAGAGAAATGACAACATGCATCCAAACCCTGTTACTCTCTACACACTGCCTTATGGGTGGGTTCATTTATAAGTAGGTGAGTGGTCGAGTGAGTGAGTGAGTGAAGCGGAGCGGAACGGAGTGGAGTTCAATGCCACTTTCCAACAGTATTCCAAATAAACACCAGACACATCAACTTGATGTTGGAGGAAGATGAAAGTGTTGCAGGTCCTAGACGATTACCACTTTGACAACTTTGATTACCACACTGACAAGTGTAGAAACACAACAGGGGCCAACCAGGGCCCTTATTCTCGAAACGTCCGTAGCCCTAAGAAGTCTTAACTTTGATCATAGTCAATGTGTTAAGAATGGGCTTAAGAAGATCGTAGGGCTACGAATATTTCGAGAATAGCTAGCCAGGATTTTATACACATGATCACAGGTTTCTGGTGTGCCCAAGGGAAACAACTCAGTAAATTACAGAATCTTAGACAATGGTTACTACATCAGATGTAGCCAAAACTAAATCAAAATCATACAGCACTGATAATTGATCATTTCTGTCACTAATTATTGCTTACAACCCTTGCTTGGCAATCTGCCTCATAATCTCGGAATCCCCTTTGTAAAGAGACTTCCTATATCTTGATTTGCCGCATGGTGCAAGCTGAGAAAAAATAAAAATGACTATCTTCATATCTGACCTTATTTGTATCCAAAAATTTCTTGTATAATTTGATGGGTAGAGCATGGAGCCAGATGTAGCCATAGGAACGGATGGCGTAGGTTGGAGAATATTCCCATGTCTGGAATCCCTTGTTAAACAGCAGGAAATGAGTCTAAAATAGAAAACCAGAAACAGGGAGGTGCAGATGAGGAAAATGTTGGATGAAAATTTTTGAAACTGATGATGCTATATGAACTTAAACCAAGTTTCTTTTTATAGCCATTACAATCACTGGGATAGAAATACTTTTTTTCTAAGTGTGCCTTAGGGCACCAGGTAAATATTTTAGGTGTGCCTTTCAGAAATCAGGTGTGCCCATGTTTTTAGAATAAATGACTGTAGCAAAGATGATGATCTTTTGAAATTTATTGTCAGAAAACAACAAATGTAACCAGTTTTCTGTTATCACTGATATGTCTTCTGTTTAAGATGGCTTTCTTATGTTTCATTTGTTCTGCTTTCCCAGCACCTTTAATAGCTAAGAATTGTGTGAGAGGTTCACTTTTTTCATATCTAACATACACAATTTCCTCTTCAATAACTGAACTATCAGTACTCCCAACACTCTAAATGAAAAAAACAACCAGATTTCTTTACAAGAACCATCAGTAATTCCAGTGATTTCCTGGGCAATAAAGTCAATAAATGTTTTTACTTGATTGTCATTTGCATAAGTGTTTTGTTTGGTTATTAAGTGACTAAAGGTGTGTTATGTCTTAGGCGTGCCACAAGGGCACAAAAACATTTTTTATCCGTGCCATTTCTATATTTACCGTGCCATGGCACCCTAATATATGGGGTATTTCGAACCCTGCAATCACGATAGTACAGTTATAACAGTATAAATCAATCCATATATCTATGCATATAACAATAAAAACATGTTCTACTCTTTATTCTTTGACCATAAATGTTAGTGATATCAGTAGACATTTTGCACAAGAAATATTAAAATCATTACTGGTTCCTCATCAAGCATATGGTTGGTATAAAACTTTGTGGATTCTAATTATTGGCAAATGAAAGGACACTTCTCATGGGTCTGCTGAATATTTAGGACGGCAGTGGTCATGTTCAGTAGATTTCAGCCTTAGAATTTCATTTTTTAAGACAGTGGAAAACCTTGTTTCACATGTCATAAAAATGTGTATCTAGTCATGCTTTCACAAGACAAAACTGTTAACTACATTTACAATGGTATCATTGAGAACTGGTTCATGATTACACATCTAAAATGATATATAAATCAATCAGGACCATAATGTTTGGATTTTTACATGTCCTTAGCATACTTTTGCAGTCTCAGGATAGGGTGATAGCATACCAATGTGAATTTGGAAGGCTGAGATTTGTCAACGTGAGCTTAAAATAATTGTAAGTACAGCTATAGAAAATTTGTTTTTGTTATAAGTTTACTCAGCATGCTTAAATACATAATACTCTATTATTTGTAACCATAATGTGAGATATGTAGAACTATTTACCGGTTCCCAGTAGTTAAATGTCTCGTCACAGTCTGTAATGATGCTCCACCACGCTGCACACAATCGAGCAGACATAAGAATTTTGAATGTTGTGTAACCAGCAGGTGTCCATGGCTGATCCAGGTCCTGAGTTGTTGCTCTACATTTGAAAAAGTAACAAACGTTAGCACATCAAATCAATCACATTAGACATTTGTATAGCGCTACATATCCAGAGTCCTGCTCATGTGCGCTTAGTCGAATGCTTGTTTGAAGAGGATGGTTTTGAGACAAGATCAGAAACTGTTGATATTTGTATTCCCAGGAAACATCATTTCAGAAGGAATGGCAATTTTATCCTGTGAGTATACCTGGAATAGTCCACAGACAATAATAGCAGTCCTGTGTCCTGTGCTAGGATTCGAACCACGACCTCCTGATCCGAAATCGAACGCCTTGTCTACATTATGAAATAGGTTAACCCCGTCAGCAACCTGACATGGTAAAGATGAAACCTGTTGGATGACTCCACACCCTGCTGCATTGAGATACAGAGAATTGAATCATCAATAGTCAGTATAAAAAGAGAAAAATAATGCATGACACTACTACCTTCTGACTGTTTTCACTTTGTTCAAATTTTGGATGGTAACCCATGACAGACACAAATATAAACTTAACATTTACAGGACTTATATGATGGAATTTTGGAAGTTGAGGTGATGAAGAATTTTATGGATATACAACTTCTTTATTCTGTGTAAGGTGACATTTCGACATAGATTCTAATGTTGTTGTCAACTTATTTGATGGGGATTTTAAAAGTTGAGGTGATGAAGAATGATGATAATTTTATGGATATACAACTTTATTCTGTGAAAGGTGACATTTCGACATAGATTCTAATATCGTTGTCAAGCATTCTTTAATATTTACAAGGCTGCAGGCCTTGGCTGTCATTCACTTATCTTGCCATTGAGACCAAAAGTGTTAGGTTAGGTTACCCCAATGGTATCCTGAGCCCTTAGATCCACTTACTGATCCAGAACAGCTTTACTGTTGTTAAGGGTAGATATTTTTCTGATCAAAACACCCTGTATGATCCTCAGGGTCAGCTGTCAGTTAGCATATGGGTTAGCTATTTCAGTTCTTAAGATATTATTCCAAAATGATTTGAGGAGAATCATACAATTTTTGGCCTACCTTTAGAATACAGCACCACAAACTTTATAAATACGTCATAATACCCTTTTACGTAATGTAATGTGATTTTGTTCGAAAGCACGTTCTCGAAACAATGCCCTATGACGCCTGCATGGCAACACAGTTGTCTGGCTCAGCCTGTGCGTATAAGCTCCGCTCACTGGTGTTTCATCTCTACGAGCTATGTCATTGCATAAGCCCAACGATGTTGAGAGTTTCCAGTAGTTGTATACCGGTGGATGCTCAATATTTTGCAAGCACCAGTTTGAAATATTTTTCTTTTTTCACTGATACGCTCATATATATTTGTATTACGGGCTGCTGAGGTGTTATGTTTTGTGTATTTTGTATTTTGTAATTTTTTAAATTTACTTATGTATTTTTGTCATTCAGTAATTTGCACCTTTACATAGACAAGTGTTTTATTAGTATTTTATTTTTCGAAGCGGTAATAATGCATTACACTAGACACGTCAGTCTTGTTTGTGCAGGTTCGGTCAATGCATTCTATTTATTAGGATAAATTCAAGGGATTAGGGTTAGGGCTGAGGGTTTAGGGTTAGGGACCTAATCCAATGATTCGAAGGCTAACTCACCCTCGTGCCGTCACTACACATGCTCATGTCTCCCTCATTCCTTAGTGCGATCCACATTATCTTTACAGTGTTCCCTACATCACTTTTCTGTCACAAAATCACAGATTTATATAAAAGCGCGTCATTCATGCATGCAATGTAGAAATCTAATGGAAATTGGCGCCTGACGCCTCAACACACCCTTCCGATTTTTTGTAAGGCTAACTCACCCTCGTGCCGTCACTACACATGCTCATGTCTCCCTCATTCCTTAGTGCGATCCACATTATCTTTACAGTGTTCCCTACATCACTTTTCTGTCACAAAATCACAGATTTATATAAAAGCGCGTCATTCATGCATGCACCGTGAAATCTACGTCTGACGCCTGACGTCAACAACCCTTTTCAGTTTGAGGCATATCGGCTCATTCCACGCCACACGTTAATTTGTAGATTACGGAATGGGACGAGTGTGCCAAATGGCATCGAATCCATTCGGCAATTGTCCGTAGAATAAAATCATGAGACACCAAGTCTACCCGTAGCATTCGTAATTGTCCGTGACCTATTCGATTCTTTCCGTTCATTTCCGTGACGTCACAGGAATGACTCGATAAATTTGCACATTATGCAACAGTGTGGACATAGCTCAGTCGGTTAGCTGTCACGCTAACAATCCGAAGGTCGGGGGTTCGCGTCCGACGGGTTCTCACAAACTGGTTGCTTGTCTTAATGACACGTGACCTACGGCAGAGATCGTCCTCACGAGAAGTTGTGGTGCTGTATTCTAAAGGTGCTCCCAATTTTTATCAAGTTCAGAATTCTTTAGAAAATGGCTACTAGACATGCACATCATGATAATCCAATCAGGTGCTATAAACTGGGTAAATCTGCTGAGTCCCTAACCCTAACCCATTATAGAGTATATTCGCCCCTAACTTCCCTTAACCTTGAGGGTGAACAGATTCTAAAGATACACCAATCTGCACCAATTGTGTGATAGCACCTGTGGTCATGGGATAAAGTGTTTGTTAATTATCTGATTAACTCTTTAGCTGAACTTCAAGCTGTCAACACATGTTCGTCCCTCTGTTTGGAGCTAAACGAAATCCTTAAAAATATGCCCGCTAAAAGGAAGTATTTCCAAACATCATTCCCAATAAAACAGCTGTCTCTAAAACCATGGACCCGAAATGTCATGGAACCAAATGAATGATGAAATATTGTTTTTCATAAAGTCATTTCATAAACATACTCATTCCGTGTTGTCAGTGTTTTTATGGGTACATCCCAGATTACGGTTACATAAAAAAGCGATCGACTTCGTGGCAAAGGCCCGAACAGTTGAACAAACATTTTGCAACGTGATGTTCAAGCAGACGACGTGTTTCGTCCTGATGTTTATATTCACTTCTTATAGTTTACCTTTAAGACTTCTTTCATTTCTACCATTTCTTGAATTGACCCAGACGAGATCTATCGTAATCGTCAAAGGTAAAAAGTGCTTGGTACTACCTAGATTGTTTAGACACCTCATCTTTCTTCGGCTTTGAGACCGGTCTCTTTTTCACGGCGGCTGCCATTTTCCCAATGTTAGGCTCGCACAAATTTCAATATTAATTCATTCGTTATCTTGAGGACTTTTTGATACATTCATCATCACAAGAATATCAAGTTCAACCAGATTATATAACTCGAATTAATTTTTGAGCTGAAATAAGGAAGCGTAAATAATTACTTCATAGAGCTTCCTACACAGATAGTAGGACTCGCTCCGCTATCAAACGTCACGTACAGCGCCTGCTGGCGAGAAATATCTGCTGAATAAAATTTGTCCTTCACCTTGCTATAAAAATCATGGCGACCTTCATCAGGCTTTCACGATCTCTTTTATCGAGGAACGTGTTTCCTCTTCGTTCGCAAGAAAGATGGTGCGCTGTCGTCGCTGGAAGTACTGAACATACTCTTGGGGTTAAAAAGAGGATCGAAACAACACGCCAAAAGGCGCTGTTAGGCGGTGGTCAAAAGAGAATAGATACACAACATAAGAAGGTATATCCAACGTTATTACAACTCACCTGTTACTTTATGGTATTTAACATGAAATATGTTTCACATTACAAAATCAAGAGAATTATGAACTCGATGAATATCAGCTGCATAACGAACATTTCCCTTGCACTGACATCTTCCGTTTCTGCAGATATTACGCGTTCACAATTGGTACACACAGTCAATTACACATTTATTTAGGAGACACACGTAATTACACTTTATTGTTGTACACTATCAGTCTGTTACCAGTGGTCATGCCTATCTTATTCGCGCCGTGTTAGCAAGCTGCTACTAAATGCAGTTATCAAATGGTTAATATAGCATAAAATCTGTCTGTTCACATGTGCTTCAGACTGTGCTTCTCTCTTCTCTGAATTCACATTCTTTAGATCAGTCATTAGGGTTTGCCTGCAATCTTGAGGTATTACAGTAGATTATATGCATGCTGAATAAAATAATTACAGTCCATTAACATGACTATGATCATTCATGTTCTCTGTATCAGATGTTCTATATGTTATCTAACTATGCATATTTTGATAAAGTTTATTATTTACGGTTATCATGCCAAGTGAAAGAAGCCCTAATGTTCAGCTTGAAGAGGGGGAGAACTCCAGCTAATTGCTGCACAGGGAAATTTTCTGTATTCATTGGTTTCACATTAATTTTTCGACTCGCTGTGCGATGCGTAGAGCGTGTAAAAATATCCACTGGTCAACTTCCGGTTTGGTCGTATTAGCATTATTGTAAACACACTCTAAATAAATGCTGTATGAATATTATTTCGCGTGACAACTGTTCATAGTTGAGTACATACATCCATTTGCCTATGCTTGTCAATAATTGATGTCCTATTTTGGTGGCATTGCATCAGAGATGTGTTTTTTTACTTGTGAGAAGGGGATGTGCAGGAAGGACGGTGGATGGGTGGTGGTGAGATGTGTTTATACAAGAGCTTGTTAACAAACGTTAAGCTATTTATTTAACTAATGCAGGTCCCTTCCATTCATAAATGAATTGAGACCAGTTAAATTTGACATAAAACCATATATTTGTTTTGATTTTTGCTTTCTTTAGAGTGTGTTTACACTATCGGTTAAGCTTACGACCAAACCGGAAGTTGGCCCGTGGATATTTTTACACGCTCTGCGCATGCGCACTGCGAGTCGAAAATTAATGTGAAACCAACGAATGGAGTCCTGGCCTGATTAGACAAAAACAGGATTCAGCTGAATTATTTGCCAAGAACATGCATAAGCAATCAAACATCCTTTCAAGATTCGGTGCATTAGATGTGTCCTTGGTCTGAGCGGGTATTACAAGTGGGTATGCACATTAAATGAAACACTGAGAACATGATGTAGATTTGGTCGAAGTTAATGATCATCACGTACCACACATTTGTTTCACTGTTCCCACTAGTGCGCTTACCCTAATACAAACCAATAATGGTGATTTGAAACTATTATCGTTTGTTAAATAACTTTTATTCTAAGTTGAATAAAATTCTGAGATTTAAATTTTCAATTGTCAAGGTAAAATTATGAGGATTCAAAATCTTAATGTCATTTTATTTGATTTACTTTATTGTTTAAGTTGAAATTCATTGGTACGTTTTCACTGCAAACAGACTATAGTAGTGAGTTTACATGATTAAAGTTAGGGTTAATTAGATTCTGTGCTTTGATTGTTACCGCTATGAGCATTCATGTAGTGAATGAATTTTAACGCAATATAAATGCACATGTTATTTTATCATTATGTCTTTTAAAAAAATAATATAATTTTATCCTGTGTAGGTCATATCAAGTTCAGAGTTATATTATTAAAAGGTGGCTACAATGCACATGCAGAAATGTTGTGGAAAAGTATTTAAACAAACAATAATTATTTATGATAGAGCATATGCTCCTGCACCCTCATGATAATGGGAGAGTGCACCCTGTGAGGTGCAGTATTCTCAGAAGTGAACATGTCACTATGACAGCTCGAAGTTCATGCTGAAGATGGTTGCTTAAACATGTTAACACTGGAATCTACTAACTTGTTTGAGTGGCATTTTAGAAGTTGAGACGTACAATATATAACAAGTTTTATGGATAACAACTTCTTTATTTTCGTGAGTGCGACGTTTCGATACAGATTCTTGTACCGTTGTCAAGCAAGAGTGATACATGAAGTGTAGGAGCTGCATATATATACTGTATATAACAATGAAACAACATATTAGACAAAGGAAACAACATAATTGCCATGATTGGCTAAGCAGTAAGCTGATGAAGCCAGTAAGTACATAAAGGATAGTGAATGGAAGCCAGAGATGTAGTTATCCATTGTATAAACATCTCATTGTAACTACATCTCTGGCTTCCGTTCACTATCCTTTATGTACTTACTGGCCTCATCAGCTTACTGCTTAGCCAATCATGGCAATTATGTTGTTTCTAATTATGTTGTTTCATTGTTATATACAGCATATATATGCAGCTCACTACACTTCATATCACTCTGCTTATCAACGCACAAGAATCTGTATCAAACGCCGTGACTCAATTCAAAATAAAGAAGTTGTTATCCATAAAACTTGTTATATATTGGAATCTACTATATAAATATTTATTCGATTCAATTCAGTTGTCAACCAGACTTCTGATTCACACTTGGTATGATCTGATCTACATCAGTATGCGATACCTTTTCTTGATGGAAAGGAACTTGAGCGTTTTACAGTAATCTGTGTCAAGTGACTTTCTCAGCCAATCAGTCTAAATTGTTGGTACTAGCGAGCGAGGTGAGGTGAGGTGAAATTGGGTTTAACGTCGTAGCTTGAGAATATTTCGCTCATATGGCGACGTGCATGCATGTGTATGTGTGTGTGCGGCTGCTTGTACTAGCCCAGACTGAAGCTGGTTTTATAGTGCTAGCCCACTGATGTACCATGCCGCAGTGAAGCATGAATACCCCACTCAGACACATTATACTGACTCTGAGCCGACCAGTCCTTGTTGTACCCTTAATGCAGAGCGCCAGGCAGGGACCAACAAGTACCATATTTTAACGTCTTTTGGTATGACGCGGTCGGGGATCGAACCTGCGACGTTCCGCTCTCCGGGCGGACGGTCTAACCACTACACCACAGAGGGGGTTGGTACGAGCGAATGAAGAATTAACATGATGATGAACATATCTGATTTGTGCATTTCTAAAACAAATATGAGGGATTTCCAAAATACTGCTGCTCTAATTGTTGTAGATGTGTTTCTACAAAGTGGAATGGGATCTACACCCAACACATAGAACAATTGCAGGAATACTAATTCTGTGTGGACTTTCATTTCTACAAGTCAACATTTCTGAATATAGGTGGTTAACAATCTGAAGCCGAACCACTTTAGAAAGCTTAGAAACATCTGATGAGCTTAAGAACCCATGCTTCATTGATTTGGTATTTAAATGTTACCTTCTATGGAGGTATACAACTGGAGTAAAGATTAATAAAGAAATTTTATTAGTAAGGTTGGCTTAATATGTGCCTGATAAACGTGTATCACATTCGAAAGGCTGATAGGGGCGGTGGGGTAGCCTAGTGGTTAAAGCGTTGGCTCGTCACGCCGAAGACCCGGGTTCAATTCCCCACATGGGCATAATGTGTGAAGCCCATTTCTGGTGTCCCCCGCCGTGATATTGCTGGAATATTGCTAAAAGCGGCGTAAAACTAAACTCGGTTAGTCAGTCAGTGAAAGGCTGATACGTATTGATTATAGTTTGTATCATGAATTCAACCTGTAAAAATCCAGTAATTATCTTTGTCCTCATTACAGGGCAAGCTGACAGCACGGGAGCGAGTTCATCTTCTGCTGGATCCAAACTCGTTTGTTGAATATGACATGTTTCTGGAACATAACTGCACTGACTTCAACATGGAAAAGGAAAAGGTTTTTGTCCCAGTTTCTGTGACCAACTTGTTACCAGTATCCTCAATTATCAAGTGTATGTCCATTGTGTTATGACTGTGTTACCTTGGACACATTGACCAACTTGTTACCAGTATCCTCAATTATCAAGTGTATGTCCATTGTGTTATGACTGTGTTACCTTGGACACATTGACCAACTTGTTACCAGTATCCTCAATTATCAAGTGTATGTCCATTGTGTTATGACTGTGTTACCTTGGACACATTGACCATAATCACCATCATGTTGTTTAGGAAGTGGTGTCTCCATTTCCTTCTAAACTACCAGTCATCTATGGCTCTCACACCTGAACTTGAAATCAGTAGCAAATCATAATCTTAATGTGAGTTTGGCACAGACTACAGATATAATGCTAAATCTCAAAACAATTGATGGGAAAGTTCCTTCAGGGCTATTAAAACATTCCCATTGGTTCTGATGCATTGATGAATGGGGAATATGGATGCATTTGATTTTTCTAAATTGAAATATGTTATCATCTCAAAGGGCTAATGGTATTAATTGTTTCTTGATTGTGTTGATATTGTAAAGGGAAAAAGCCATCAACCATCTGGTCAGTCAGTATCAGAAGTATATTCATGTTAATAATTTTCATTATCATGAGGAGGTCCATTTTACCCCAAAAGATTCTTTGTCTTATCTGTTCACCATGCTAAATGAACTGACATGATGTGACGAGGGATTTTGAAAAGTTTCAATTGTAAGTTTTGAAGTTCTCACATTTTCTGTTCAGTATCCTGGTGACAGTGTAGTGACGGGCAGGGGCTACATCAACGGACGGCTTGTGTTTGTCTTCAGCCAGGTAAGTTGTCTCCCTAGTTATTAGTAGGGCTGCTCAATATAACCGGTTTACCGGTATTTACCGGTTCAGACATGAAAACGATACATATTGCGATACGCTGATCGAAAACCAGTATTTTGACTTGCATTCGGAAAACGTCGTAACACTCGGAAATCTTCGGATATTTCCTTGTTTCATTTGTGCCAAATATTATTCACATTTTTATTTTATCATGATTAAAAGTTGTTATTAAAGCTTAATCAAGCATAGTGATTTTGTTGTGTTTTTGCTCTATAAATCATGCAGTAACTCGACTATAAGTAGTGTTTTGTTTAAAAATATTTCATGCAATATATTGCAATACATATTACAATACATGCTTTCGCATCCCAATATATCACAATATGAATATTTGCTGCAATACCCACCCCTAGTTATTAGCGACTAGTCACAACCATATGCCGCCATCATGAATGACCTTCACCTTGGTGTACCGCTAAGTATTCTTACGCGAATGCTCGATTCTCTTCATATAAATTCACGTACAATTTGCTTCTTCTTCTTAATTTTAAGAATGACATTAAATGATAAAGAGATAATTAACCTTGTGTGTTTCCATATCATTAATATCATATGTTAGGAATAAAAAATATGTATTATGCTCCTAACATATGATATTATTCATACGGAAACACACTCGGTTGATAAGCTCTATGTCAGTGAATATCCTAGCACAACTATCGCTTTTGTTCTTTGAATGGATTTTCTCAATGATTATAAGGTTCCAAGTGATTTAATAAAAGCTGAATCTACAGAGTCTGTTTCAAAACTGCTGAAGTTTTCTAAAATCTCCTTTTCCATTCAACAGACAGTAAACACTTAACGGTGCATTAGTTGTAGTGCTACTTTAGCAGCATCTTACCGTGGTTGGAGTGCTAAAATTGCTTTTTGGAATTGTTCCTAAATCTTCAATATCATTCAGGAATTAGTATCATACATAGCAACAGTCACTGAACAGTTCGACCTCTGTGATTCTACTAGCAACAGGGCAATGTTGAGTATATATATATTAGGGCACAAGATTGATATTGTAAACAAACAGTTTTAATTTCTATAATAATCAGGAAGATACACATTTCAGTTTCATGATTGTTAAAACTTACAACAATAACAATACCATATTTAATGTACTTCCAGAATATATTTTCATCTTGTTCATACACCGACAGAGGCGGTGGAGTAGCCTAATGGTTAAAGCGTCTTCTCGTTAAGCTGGAGACCCGGGTTTGATTCCCCACATGGTACATTTCTGGTGTCCCCCGTCGTGATGTTGCTGGAATATTGTTAAAAGTGGCGTAAAACCATACATACTCACTCACCAAGTATTGTTTCAGGACTTCACTGTATTTGGTGGAAGTTTGTCGGGCGCCCATGCAAAGAAGATATGCAAGGTGAGTTTACTCGGGTGCAAATGGCCCACTGGCCTGAGATAGTTTACTTTCAGTAATGGCTACTGGAATGCTTGTAAATTTTCAGAATTTGATGGGAAAATGTATAATGGCGCGAGGCTAATGATCCAGCAAGGTTGAGGTGTGAGGATCGAGCCCACCTGTGACCGGGTGTAAAAACCTTGGAGTCAACTTTGTGTGCAGACTCTTTCAGTGTTGTCACAACCCCTAGTGTACAGTACACAACCCTGAGCACTTAAAAGAACCCATGAATCTGTTGGTATTTGACCCGATGGTGGCAACATGAATACGTACAAACACTTAGTTGCGGGTACAGCAACGTGCAGTGAACATGGACAAAGTACTGTGACTATGTGTCCCAGTCCACCCAGCTGTGAATGGATACCTCGTGAGGGTGGGAAAGCCACAATAACTCAGTGCGCCTAGTGGCTGCAAGAGTTGTATACTCCCCAGGGAGTTGAGATTGATAATGCGATGTGCCGTTGAGATTGACATCCAATGATCGAGGGAAAAATACCAGCGCCTTGATAAAAGTAAATGGTAACCAAAATTGATATAGACCTATCAATCCCTATTCTGCCCTGTTTGGTCAGTACAGATACCTCTGTACATTTAGTCACTCATATTTGATATATTTGGGGAGTTTCAAATCCACAAAATAGATGCCTTTGTATTATATGGCTGTGGATATTTTAAGTACATTCTGTTGTTTATGAGCACCATATTATGGAAGCCAAATAGATGAAGTTATTAAGGATAAGGTTTTTGGTTGTTAAGAATGAAATTTCAATTTGATATGGTAAGAAAATTCAATCATTTCAGAAATCGTACCTCTGATTGGTTTGAACTCTGAAGATCAGGGTTAGAATATTCAGGAGCTACAAATGAGATCAGTTGGTCGAAGTTCCAGACTTGGTAGATGTATGTCATCTTATGCCATTTGTGGTATTGATGCTCATGATGTCTGTCACTGGATTGGTTGGTCCAGAGTCAATTATTATGATTATAATTTTACAGGCTGCTGGTGTGCAGCTAGGATATTGTTGACTTTAACAGAAACAAACAAGATTCTGATTGTTTTAATAGTGCATCATTCATATAGGTTTAAAGAGATGTCGACTACAGATCGACTGTTGTATTACAGATCATGGACCAAGCGATGCTGGTTGGCGCCCCAGTCATTGGCCTCAATGACTCGGGAGGAGCAAGAATCCAGGAAGGGGTGGAATCTCTAGCAGGATATGCTGACATCTTCCAGAGAAATGTCAATGCATCGGGTGTGATACCCCAGATCTCACTCATAATGGGGCCGTGTGCAGGTAATGTAGATCTCGCTCTATAGAGTTGTGTCCCTTAGATGTGCCAGGAACCTGTGATTGTTGGTTCAAACCACAAATTTGCCATGATAGTGTTTTGTTTGTCCTCACCATTCTCATGCTGGTGGATTTAACCAAAGTGGTAATCAACTCAGATGTTCATCACTCTAGGTTTTTCCTTCCACAACAAGCTGACATGGAGTGATGTACCTTAAATGTATCCATGTTACCTATGGCATTTCTGTTTGCTCTATAGAGTTGTGTCCCGTTAGATGATTAATCAACTAGCTTGGGGCTAATGTGGCCATTTGCTTGAGGTCTTCTTTATGGTCTACAGAGTTGTGTCCTTAGATGTGCCAGGAACCTGTGAATATTGGTTCAAAAAACACAAAGCTTACCATGATAGTGGTTTTGTTTGTCCCAACCATTCATATGCTGATGGATTAACACCAAAGTGGTAATCATCTCAGACCTTCATTACTTTTGGCTTTCCTACCACATCAAGCTGACATACAGTGATGTGCCTGAAATATTAATCATTTTTAAAACACAACTCAATCACCTACTCAATGCTAGTCATGACAGAGCCCCATTGTTGTCCGTCATCACACACACCATGCTGGCGATCTTCAGTTCGAGCGGAGAGAGACTGAGCATGCTGAGTGTGTATTGAGACTCAAAGCTCCTGATTCTAGGACAGGGAAAGTCAGTTATTTGATTCCCTGTCAGATACCATAGGTAGGACACTTTCGTTCCGTATAATTCGTATGTAATGAGACCTCGTGTAGTATTCTCTATGAATGAGTGCCTCCCACTGGTGCTTGACATTGTTAGCGAAGGGGCCCCAGGTTGTCCGCGATCAAGTGTAGTGCGATGGGTGAAGCGAGGCGCAAGGCGAGTGCAGCTACACGCGGAATCAATTTCATTGTCATGCAATGCACTTGCACTAGGCTACATCTGCTCTACCTTTCACAAACCAAATGGGTTTGTTCAATGCCATGCACCGCCTATTTCTCGTAAACGTGTTCTATGCGCCGGTCCAACTTATCCTTGTTTGCCAGTATGTTGGGGCATGGTTTATCAGAGGGACAGCACAATGCAACACTCGTACTAATACAAACAGCCACATACACACATGCTCTTCTTTGTGTGAGTGAAGTAATCTTCAGTGCAATGTTAAATCACAGGGGCGGTGGGGTAGCCTAGTGGTCAAACCGTTGGCTCGTCACGCCGAAGACCCGGGTTCGAATCCCCACATGGGTACAATGTGTGAAGCCCATTTCTGGTGTCCCCCGCCGTGATGTTGCTGGAATATTGCTAAAAGCGGCGTAAAACCAAACTCTGTCTGTCAGTTAAATCACATTTCACTTGTCCACATTATCACCAGCAGTTTACTGTAGAACACAGATAGATTGAACAGCGAAAGAGTGCAGCAACAACAAATTTGTATGAAATCCCTAATTTAGCTCCTACCTGTTACCATGTAAAATGTGCATCTATACAACATACACTCTAAACATACTTCAGTGAATTCTTATTTTTGATCCGCCATAAATGTATAAGGTTTATAATGAACTGAGAAATCTCAGTGTAATCAGATGTCAGTAACAATTGGCTGACTATCAGCAGCGACTATGCGCACTTGCCAAACTTGTGTGCTAATCTTAACTATAATCTGGAAGTTGGACAAACCTTTTTGTAAAATAAACATTAAACTTACATTTTATGAGATTTAATGCTTTAACATAATGTTCCAAGTATTGAGTATCAAAAGCTGATTCCTGTGGTCCCTTGTACAGCTTGTTCAGCTTGACCTGATCAGGTGAATACTAATGCTTTGCGTGACCGTGTCACAACTGATTGGGTCTATTATTGTGAAGGGGTGCACCTTTGTCAGTTGATTGTCAACATGTCCGAACAGCTGACACAAGGTCGCCGCTTATCATCCTCTGCTCCCCTATTGAATGAGTTTAACTCTCGACCTGCCGTTTGTGCCATTTTGACCTCCTGGGTCATGCATATGTAGAGTAGCTCAGGTCAAGCTGAACAAGCTTTACTTCGTGTTTCATTGTAAAGGAGGTATATAGATTGCCAGGCCTAATTCCAATTTTTCCTTGTAGGTGGCGCTGTGTACTCACCCGCTCTGACAGACTTCACCTTCATGGTCAAGGTGAGTTTTGTGTATGATCCAACAACTGTTTGCAGCATGGAGCCAGGAAGTAGGGTAGCCAAGTGTTTGAAGTGTTCACTCGTTGTGCCTGAGACCTGGGTTCGATTCCCCACATGGGTACAATTTGTGAAGCCCATTTTTGTTGAATTTGAAGTAAAATGAGATTGTTTTAAGGCTTAACAATAAAGACAAGTGAAAACTAGATTTTTTGACCACTGTCCTTTGGAATCCCTACTTTCTGGAACGTGACTGTATACATGTTGATGCGCACATTCCATATTTCAGAGGCTCAGATAAGCTTAGTATCCAGGTCAAATACGCATATTAAATTTCCAATGCATTGAAAAATAATTGTTGCGAACAAATTATGCGTTTAAAATGTCGGATATGCAAAAGGTTTAAAACAAATGCGTACGAAATATATTTATAAAAATCGCTTGCGTAATGAAAAAGACATCTATTGCTATCAAGTTGTACTGTTAGTATAGGACTAGTGTTGTACTGTCAGTATAGGATGAGTGATTTTTTATGAAATCATTTCCATTATATTTAAGTTTTTTATGATTAGGTATGACATAAGGCAGAACATACCTGCTTAGTAAACTTACTCAATGACATAATACTTAGGTGAATAAAATGACTGAAATACGCACATATTTGAAAGCAGTGGGTAACGGAAAATGAAATACTCACTCAACATTCATAATACCCACTCCCAAAAAATACAGTGGGTAACGTACCCACATGAACTAAATTTTATATGAAGCTCTGCCGTATTTGCCATATGTCAACTTCTATGTCAATTTGTAAGTAGGCCTTGTACATGTCATAGGCCCCTGTTCTACCAGTAGTAAGTTAAACGTGACAGTTTCTTGTGTATAATGCAGAATTTTTACAGTACTTTCACCAGCAAAGGTATGTACAGTATACGATGTTTAAGACAAACATGCTTATAACAAATAAGGATATATCAAAGTGTTTCTTTTTTGTTTAATTATGATGATGATGTTACTTGCATTAACCGACATATTTTGCAAACAATCCACTTAGCTGTTTTAGTCAAATGTGTATAATGAACAACAGTTACGACAAAATATATTTAATTTGAGTTCATTACAACCATAGTTTAATCTATACTTGCCTAGTAAGCATATGATGGAAATGTTATATTTCCCCGACATTCATCCAAGTTTGTTTTCTACCCAATCTCCAACTACAAATTTAACTTGTGTATTATATTAATAATCAGCTTTCTCTGACGGCTGTGCCCATTGTCCTTATTAGTGTACATATTTGTCACTCAAAAACGTCACTAGTCGGGATGACCTTTGTCTATTTGCTTGATGTAGTTGTTGAATTCAAGTGACCCTGTGGAGAATGGAAGAGGTGGAAGGAGAATTTATCAATTGCAGTGTGCAGATATTGTAAAAAATAAATGAAAATATTTGATTGGTTCTGTATTTATTTATTGAAGATGTTTCCAACAAAAACATTGAGGTAGAGGCATAGGGTTGTCAAACCCGATATGCTGAGGGAAAGGTTCTTCTCGAGGTGCGATACTGATACCACAAGCTGAGAGTATTACAGGCCTTTTCATGAGCCCAAGACATCATACTAACTGAAAACAGTGTCAAACAGAATCAGTACTGGGGAGGCTACGATTTGAAATTTTTTCAGCTGCCTCCTCCTGGACTATTAGCTGTATTGAATCTATATTCCTGCTTGATGAATGTTTTTGATGAACAGTCACCAGTGGTCATTATACTTCCCATCAAAAGTTCAGACTCACTTAAAACATTCACTATATGTATATACATATGGTTACATCAAAGATTGACTTCTCCACTAACTTGGGGGAATCAACTGCAAACCATATGCAGATGAATTGCATGAGGATCATGCATCAAATTGCTGAAAGGAATGTGCAAATATTGTGCATGTGAACAGTTGTGTTTTGGTGTAAAGTTTTGTTAAGAATTCACCAATTTTCTCAGATTTTTATCATTTATTGAACTCGTGACAATAATCTTTTCAGCGTTACAAATTTGTTTTACAATACATCAGTTCATCTGTAAACAGAACCTTTAAACAAAATTGAATATTTTGCAAAATTTAGTTAGAACAGTTGCCTGAAGTAATTGGCTATATTTACAATAGTGAGTCTTTTGATGGGAAGTATATTGTTACTGGTAAATTTTAGGGCTGCGCAATATAACCGGTGGTTAAACTTTGCTCACTAATGCAATTGGTTATGATCATAAATGATTTCAAATGTTGGCGTCTTAAATGAAGGCTCTTGCTCCATGATTTCCAATGCATGTAATTTGCTCAACTAAAGTTACTTGTATAACAGTTTACAGACCCTTCTTTGAGAAGTGAAGACTGAATATTGATACCCTAATTTACCTTCCTACACAACCTTCAACCCATTTCCGGGGTGGAAATATCTTTAAAGTTGCTAGTGTACTCCTGTAAAATCACTTGCCCTGATAATTTTTCCACTATACCGGCCATTTTCTTGTTGATTTTTTAAATAAACAACATAATTAACATTGGAAAGTCAACTGGACACTGGTACAGTGTGATATACAAATTTTCTTGCCCGACAGAAAAAAAACACTGGACTCGATCGTCGGGCAATGGGTTATTTCCACCCCTGCATTTTCAAACCAACAACCAGAAGGGGTCTTTTGTACGTATATATTTTACATTTAATCAAAATTTCCCGTTACATAGTCACAACAGTGCCTCTTTCTCAGACTTCATGGTAACACTTGTTTCAACATGCAGATTATCTTCCAATTGTTCACCACATGAACAGAAAGATAATCTAGTGTGTCTCATGACGGGGCAGTGTTAACACTATTGTCTTGTAACATTTATAAGAGTGAGTGAGTGAGTGAGTTTATATTTACACCACACTCAGCAACATTCCAGCCATATGGCGCCGGTACATTTATCAGAAAGCTGCCCTTGTGTAGGTATGGGTATTATCACACAGATCTTGTTTCTTTTCAGATATAGAACAAATATGCTAAAACACCTTGAATACACACACAGTTACATTGTTTAATTTGATTATAATGATCATTTAAACCAAACACACCAAATGTCAGATAGTATAACAAAATAGTGTAACATACAAGTCTGAATTCCCAAACAGATGGAGGAATGGAACATTGATGATTAGGGCTGTGCAATATAACCGGTTTTATTATTTATATGTTCAGACATGAAAACGATACGTATTGCGATACGCTGATCGAAAACCGGTATTTTGACATGCATTCGGAAAACTTTGTAACACTCGTTTCATTTGTGCCCAATATTACTCACATTTTTATTTTTTCGTGATTGAAAGTTTTTATTAAAGCTTAATCAAGCATAGTGATTTTGTTGTGTTTTTGCTTTATAAATCAAGCATTAACTCGATTATAAGTTCTTTTTTGTTAAAAAAAACTTCTTGCAATATATTGCAATACATATCGCAATAAATGCTTTTGCATCGCAATATATCGCAATATGAAAATTCTCTGCAATACCCACCCCTAGTAAATTTCCTGGAGGGTTGACAACAACCAAGTTAATAACTATTGTATGTGCACTAAGGCAAGTATCACTTCAGGAGTATTGTTTACTTCATCTTGGTGGTAGTGGTGATGTCTTTGAATGTTTTTCTCATGTAAGGTTGGAATGAAATAACATTATAATGACGGAGGTGGTGAGGAAATTGAACGATGCCAATTACGGTTTTGTGAGGAATACATTAGTGGTGGTCCGATTAATTGAAATAATCGTTTAATTGAAATAATCGAAGATTTTTCCTTATCCTGACTCATGCTCTTTTGCTTGTCTTCTTCTTCTTGCGAACATAGTGGAACACGTGTATCTCCTTAATTGAAGCTCCCTTCAATGTAAAATCAATAATTGGTACTCACCAAGAGTTGCCTCCCTTGCCCTTTGCGCGCGAACAGGTGTCGCCACCCTCTGGCCTCATGCTTCACTCTCTCCTTCTTCGCCCAGTGAGCAGGATGTGAGAGCGCCTGTGTCTCCTTACACACTATATCCTTTGGTTTTTCTTAGTTAGTTACCTCTTATAGGTTACTATAGAGGTATAGCTAGTATCCTTCATTAATTTGCATTGATAATTAATCGTATTTCTACTGTTTATTCACGTGAGTTCGTGATTGTTCAGCTAGTATTACGTTGATGAAAATCTGTACTATTTGTAGATTACGTTTTTCTGTTGCTGACCCGCATGCATTATGCCCTAGTTGTGCTACTTTTGTGCGTTTGATTCACGTTGCAGTTACTGCATTAATCTATCTAATTCTGCTTTTCATAAATATCTTTGCGTCTTGAGGCGTTACATGCAGATAGGTCACGCAAACAAGGGTTAGACATGGCCGATACATCGGATTCCCCATCCAGTCAGCTGCTGTCGATCGACCCCCTCACGTCTGGTGTTCCGCTAGAGACCCCGTCGGAAGAGGGGCGTGGGATGCAGTCCGCCACCTCTAAGAAGCGTCCTGCCTCCCCAGACGTCCGTCATCGCAGGCAAAGTCCAAGAGGGCCTCGACGTCTTCTCAACGCAGACTTCGGACCCCCAGGGCAGCGCCTACCTCAAAGGAAAGTCTCGCGAAGTCGCCAAGAACTTTCTCAGCCGAGATCGCTCCAGCCGCCGAACTGGGCCTCTACGATGATCAGCCGATCATCATCCCTGACGTACGCCACAAGAAGCGGCCGGTGACAGCTACAGTGACATCAGCAGAGATCGCCATGCAGCCTGATGTCTCTACACTGATGTCAGACGACTCCCCTGAGGGCCCAGCCGCTATCATCGCAGAGAGGGCACCGACTACTTCGTCGCAGACCATCCCAGACGAGCTGTTGCGGCAGATCATGACCATGATGGAGGGCCACTACAGACGGGAGAAGCAGCCAGCCCAGGGCCTGAGCAACGCAGACGACACCCCAGAGGCACCCCCCGTCAGCGTAGC